AAGCCAAAAAGGGGGGGTGGGCCTGAGTTTCAGGGGCACACACCCGCGCTAAGGACACGCACAGACCATGTTGCTGTTTCACCCCCCCCCCCCCCAAACAGAAAAAAACACATTGTGTTAATTGTTTAAGGAGAAAAAACAACTGGTGGCTCCCCCCCCAAAAAAAAACACAACAACAACAACAACAAACCAAAGTACTTTCTCGAAAAAACGGTGGCTGTACTGTACAATAGACAACATGTGAACATCATACCCCACAGCCGCACTGGCTTCCTCCCCGCCTTGCGGCGGAGGAACTCATAGGTTACAAAGGAGCCGTGCTCGTCCTGGAGAAAAGAATGGCGGAATGGGCCCTGAGGTGCACTTGGCCTCGGTTTCGTTGTAAATAGCTGTGTCCATTTCGATGTCGCTGTATTGGATGCTACATGCTAATCACTCGAGTCGTACGAGTAGCATGCTGGCTTCGCCCGCCCAGGCGCCCTTGTCTGTTGTGTTTCTCAAATTTGCGCGGACATGCTGCGCATCTCCCCCAAAAAACAAGCGGGTACATTAGCCGCTTCGTTTCTGGGCGGGCGGTGGCTCACGCTAAACTGCCTAGGAAAAGAATCCAAGAAACGCCACAGAACTTTGTGGAAACGTGAACCGCTGGCCCCGCTGTTTACACTTCCCTTCATTGATCTTCAGTCTCCGTGTGCCTCAAACTGGGGCTCAAACTGGACACGTGTCTGGCATTCCTGCAAACATGTGGATACGTGCCAAAAAAGCGATCCGTGTGCTTTGCGGCTAATCCTCCTGTTGGCTTCCACCCACAACAACCACACACACAGACACACAGACACACAGACACACAAACACACAGACACACAGACACACAGACACAGAGACACACAGACGCACAGACACACAGACACACAGAAACACAGACACACAGACACACACTCACACACCCACACACGCACACACCCACACACCCACACCCACACCCACACCCACACCCACGCCCGCCCGCGCGCGCAAGCGCGCCCGCACCCACCCACCCCACCCCACCCACCCACCCACCCACCCACCCACCCACCCACCCACCCACCCACCCACCCACCCACCCACCCACCCACCCACCCACCCACCCACCCACCCACCCACCCACCCACCCACCACCCACCCCCCCACCACCCACCCACCCACCCACCCACCCTCTCACGAACCCACGTACGCACGCACGCATGCACGCACGCATGCACACAGACACACACACACGCACACACACGCACACACACACACACACACCCACCCCCCACCCACCCACCCACCCACGCACCCACCCACCCACCCACCCACCCACGGACCCACGCACCCACGCACCCACGCGCGCACGCCTTGCGCACGCGCCCGCACCCGCGCCGCGCCGCAACGCCCGCACGCACGCACACACAAACGCGCACGCCCGCACACGCACGCGCACTACACAAAGACACAGGAACCCGCACACGCAGAAACACAAGCACAAACACGCAGGCACACAAACACACACACACACACACACACACACACACACACACACACACACACACACACACCCCGCCGCCCGCCCGCCCGCCCCGCCCGCCCCCCCGCCGCCCCCCCCGCCCGCCCGCCCGCCCCCGCCCGCCCGCCCGCCCGCCCGCCCGCCCGCCCGCCCGCCCGCCCGCCCGCCCGCCCGCCCGCCCCGCCCGCCCGCCCGCCCCGCCCGCCCGCCCGCCCGCCGCCCGCCCGCCCGCCCGAGCGCGCAAGCGCGCGCGCACCCCACGCACGCACGCACGCACGCACGCACGCACGCACGCACGCACGCACGCACGCACGCACGCACGCACGCACGCACGCACCACACACACACACACACACACACACACACACACACACACACACACACACACACACACACACACACACACACACACACACACACACACACACACACACACACACACACACACACACACACACACACACGCACCCACACACACACACACAAAACAACAACAACAAAAACAAGAACAGAAACAAAACCAACAAAAACAAACACAAACAGAAAAACAAACACAAAAACAACAACAAAACAAAGGCAGAGGTCTCCAAAGGCATGCGCCTGGTGGTGCAGGCGGATGGGCCCTGCGCCAGAAACCTCTTGTCCCTCGAGCGCAAGCATGGCCTCGAGCGAATCTCTCTCGAAAGTCGCTGGTGCATTGCCCCAGTTGAAATACCCCACCAACATCCCTACGGATAGATTACAGATTACCCCCCCCACCCCCTCCCCCGCCTTTTCACTTCTCCCCCAGCCCGACAAACACCTCCCCTCTCGGAAGACACGAACAAAAGGCACACGTACGGTGATCAAGCCGTAGGCGAAAGCATGTTCAAACACCTCGCCCTACATGGTTGGGGAAGTTGGGGATTCCCACTTTGTTCCAGTCCCCTAGCGATTGGACATGTCTGAAAGGAATGGTTGGAAGTTGCTGCTGGGCCTTTAGTCAAGTGCTTTCCTAGTCTGCCTGAATGCTTAACGCCCGCCCTACCCGCGTTCCACTCAAAGCGTGGGGCCAGTGCCACCATATGTTCTAGTCCGCCGAACTGGTGGATGACCCCCAAGCCTGCCCTCAGCTTTGCGCAAACGAAAACAGAGGTCACCTTGGATTCTGGCAACATGGCGTGAAGTTTGACATGCCAAAAAGATGCTTCGAGAGTCGCTGTCGGCAGCAGCTCCCTATGTCCCAAGCCTTGAGCTTTGAGATGTGTTGACCGAACCTCATTTGAGCCACAGACAAAACGAACGCCAAAGCATTAATGTTACAGCAAGCCCCCACCCACACGGAGTTGTTTATTGCTTGAATGTTGACCCTTGATTCATAGACCGCTCCTATCAATAGGAGAATAAACAAAAAAAACCGTAGAAACCGTCGATTGCCTGGTAGAGGTCCTCCGTGTGGCCTTCCAGCCTCCGGCGAACTCCGAACGAGCAGTCCTTCGGCTCAAGAAATGCGCGAAGAGCGCCTCAAAACCGAAACGGGGTGGAGGTCCATAGCTGTTGGCTTCCCTTGAAAACGACCCCGCAAAAAAATTGGGCGCGCAAGAATGGGGAGTTCCTGCTGGTGCCCTTTTCGCGAGCCATCAAAAAAGGCACACTCCGATTTTGCCTCGCCACCCACCCGAGGGGTGTCCTTTTGCTGGATCCTCATTTGGTTGGGGACGACCGCTGAGATGGTGGAAACTAACCCTGTGAGTTGATTTGCCACCCCAAAAAACAAATCGCCAAATCGCAACATCCGAGCCGCCCACCATAGGTATCCAACCTAACCCAACCTAACCCAACCTAACCCAACCTAACCCAACCTAACCCATTTCTGCTCCCCCCCACAACCACCCCAAACCCCCCACCCGGGTGTCGCCCCCTTTGGTGTCGCGCCAGGTGCGCAGCTTGGCCAGCCAGAAGCTGCTCGCCAGGAAGCTCTCCTGACGGCAAACTTCAGCGGACCGCAAATTCCCGTTTCGGAGTCCCGGTCCGGGCCGTCTCCCCCACCCCGTCTGCAAAAAAAACGATTATGTCTTTGCGGGAGAGTGAAGTTGAGTTGCAAACCCAAGAGTCAAAAGACATAATAGCACTTTTATGAACATATCTAGAGGAGCTCACCCCCAACCCCAGTTACAATGAACAACCCAGAAATGGCCCCCCCTCTTTCACAAAGCTCCGCTCCTCGGACTTCGAAGCTGCCACAGCCGCTTTGCCGGGACCTGCCGCTCACCGTCGCGCAGGCGATCGATTCTGGCCGTCGACCGCTTGCGTCAGGGTCAAAGGCCTTGACACCTTTCATAGACCCCTCACCTTTCTTGCTGCGCTGGGCAGGGAATGAGAACTGGAATGACGCCGAAAAACAACTAGACGACGAGCGGAGCATGGCGCTTAGTTGGGCTAGCCTTTGGGATTCTGGAGGTCTTGGAACATAGAATTTAAAGGCGTGGGTCTGGGCGTTGATAGGTCATCTTGTAGGGTTCTTGACTTGGAGGGTCATCGTACATTACGACACGAAGACAGTAGCAATTTTGTCATTACGCAGCAGGGTGCACACGAAACTGCGTACCTCTCTGTGTCTTTCTGTGATTCTCTTTGTGCCTCTGCGGCGCCGTATGCCCCTACAGTCGCCACACACGCTCTGTGACTGCTGTGGCAGCACTGACATGAAGACGAAACTCTTCGTGCTAGTCAATCGTACCATGTTAGCCAATCATAAACCTCACGCGGGTCAATGCGTACGTGCTTGCCTTGAGCACGCACAGGTCGAGCACACGACAACGGCTGCGCGTAAGATGACCAGGAAACTTTGTCATAACATCGACATGCGACCTTTCTGCTTGCTAGAACATCTGCACGTGGCCGAAGGAAACCACCGAAGAGCGCGCTTTCCCAACAGAGCTTTTACGCTTAGATGCTACAATACGAGAGTCGCCTCGCGCGTGACCTTAGCGATGCTTCAGCCGAAGCAGCGGGAATGCGCTTCGCGCACTACTCTTGTACTCAAAAGTTGCGAGTCTTGCGCCAGCCACAGCAAGAGCGCTTCGACACGCACGATCTCCGCAGAGGGGTACATTTCGCAAGCTCCCGTCGGGCCTACCTCCACCAGAAAAAGAAGAAGAGCTAAGAGTCGAGAAGTAAAGGTACAAAAGAAAAATAGCTTGTGTTTTTAGGATGGTGAAGTAACGCCCAAAAAGTTAGCTTGTGTTTTAGGATAATGAGATACTGTACCACCCGAAAAGTGGCATGAGAAGTTGGCAGGTCAAGTAAATCTCGACAAGTTGGCATGAGAAGTTGGAAGGTGAAATAACTCTCGGAAAGTTGGCAGGCGAAGTTTGCAGCCGCTGTTACAAGAAGAACCCTTCTCAATGCTTCCGGGAAAAAGGTGATGAGCTCTTTTGATGGAATTTGTTGGGTTCATTCCCTGATTCCCTACTGAGCACCAGTGTTTGAAGGTCCTTTTTAGTGGGGGATCTTTTCTTCCCAGGTAGCCAAGTCGCCGTTTCGCCGCTTGGAGCCGGAGCCGTTTCGCCCTCAGCTTCTCTTCTGTGTTGCATCTTCAGGAAAACCCGCAAAAACAAAACAAACACACAAGAAGGCTCACGAGTTCTTCATGACGCCTGAAGGCTGAGACTCTGAAAAGTCCGCCCCGGAGCGAGCGCACGACATTTAGGGCGGCTCGGGCAATAAAAAAAAACTGGCTTCGATTGTTGGAAGGGAATGCCCAAGTTGAAACCGCGAAGCGCAGCAATCCCAATCCGAGATAAAACTTTCAACGCAAAACCGAAAACGCCCTGTTCTGTTTCCATGCGCCTTTCCACTTGAACATTCCGCCTAAGTGGTTGACCCCTTCAACTTTCACTGGACCAAAAACAATTGCTTTCATCCAAACAGTTGGCAGTGCCAGTTCTGCCCATATTGCTGGTTCAACTTTGCCAGTGGTTGGACACCGCAGCATAGGTGTCCTTCTGGGAAAATAGATGGGTTTGCCTGGTAGATGACAAAACCAGGTCAACCAGGAATCGCCATCATTTGTTGTTTACCAAAACAACCAAAAACGACACGTATGCACAGCATCTTCACCCAAGATGTTGTGAAGAGGTCACAAGCACCCTGCTCCCACGCCCCCAATCCACACCTGGCTCGTCCTCCAAACCCTCGGTGAAAGATGGAGCGGTGACCGAATGGCAAGCAGATCTTTATGTGGGCCATGGTGAAAATACGAATGTCTCCCCAAGATATGGGAAATTCAGTGAGTCCCCCCAACGTCCCTCCCAAATGAACCATGAATTTCTGTTCAAACCTCATGCAAATTCAGGTCCTAGCATATCCGCGTTCTAACCGGTTCCCCCCTTCGTCTTTGACCCCCTGCGATCGACTTTTGGTAGTGGTTGGAACATATTTTCCTCGCGTGCCTGAAATGAGAAACTTCCACAAACAAAGGTGCGCGCAACCAAAATTCCGTCCAGACAGGACCCTGTAAACCGTACCTAACGTCACACTCCTGCTGGCCATCATCAGGACTGCGAAACATTTTGAGAGGTGGAAAGTTAGGCTCAAGTCAAAGAAAACCCAAAAGGCAACCCTCCTGGTCGGGGGCTGTCCGCTTTTAGCGGGGGGGTCCTTCTTGGAGGGAGCACCCCCTAATAGGATGGGTTTATTAATCCGGGGTCAACATTGCCTGGTTTGGCAACCTCTGAAAGGAACGGCCAAAGGAGCACAAAACACATTTTCTTGCAACTGCGCGGCACGTTTAACAATCATTAAGCCGCAAACCGCGCGCTCATACTGATCGCCTTCCAGCGTTCAGCCAAAAGGTCTGGTGGGGCGAAAGCATTGTCTACCTTCTCTGGGTCAGCACCGGCATACAGCAAGCACTGCACAACTCCCTGATGACCGTGCTCTGCAGCAAAATGCAACGGTGTGTAGCCACCGTTGGCAGCCTTCTCTTTGTCAGCACCGGCATCTAGCAAGCACTGCACAACCTCTTCATGGCCGCGGTCTGGAGTATGCAATCATGTGGCGCCCTCTTTGGCCGCCTTCTCTTTGTCAGCACCGGCATCCAGCAAGCACTGCGCAACTCGCTGATGGCCAAGCAGAGCAGCTAGATGCAATGGTGTGAAGCCATCGCTGTCCGCCTTCTCTTTGTCAGCACCGGCATCCAGCAAGCACTGCACAACTCCCTGATGGCCAAGCAGAGAAGCTAGATGCAATGGTGTGAAGCCATCGCTGTCCGCCTTCTCTTTTTCAGCACCGGCATCCAGTAAGCACTGCACAACTGCGTGATGGCCAACCAGAGCAGCTACATGCAATGGTGTGGCGCCATCTGCCGCCTTCTCTTTGTCAGCACCGGCATCCAGCAAGCACTGCACAACTACTAGATGGCCGTTTGCAGAAGCACTATGCAAAGGCGTCTTCCTACTGTTTGCGTCGGCAGCGTTGGGATCATGAGGCTTCTCCAACAGCTCTAGCACAAGTTGTGCATCGCCTCTTTCTGCCCCTTGCAGCAAGTCAACACCATTTGCCAAATCCTCTGCTTCTGGTTGAACATATTGCCGTACAACCGCCGTCAGGCGCTCAGCATTATCACACGAACTCTCTGGCCCCAACTTGCCTATGCCACTCGCCAACGAGAGCTGCCTGAAATTCCGCAGGTGCAGTCCTTGCTTGGCTAGCGTCAGGAAAACCCACACACACACACAACTACCATACATGTTGTTGAGTTAGTTAAGGAAGCCGGTTGCCAATGCACGTGGAGAACGTCAACATCATTCAGAATGTTGTTGTTGGTTGGATCTTCCTTGACCTCCTAGCAAAGCAAGAACATCGGGTACCAATAGGTAACTGGGAATCTCTTCGCCAAATGGCGTCGTAACGCGTCGAACAAACATTCGCCATCTTCCTTTCCGCGCGGCTCATCCCGCCACACGGAATACTCCTTCGTTGTCATCACATCCGTGCCATCTAGCAAGCAAACGCACGCCATGAGTGAATTGAACAGGCCTGCGCTCGAGCCGAATGTGCCTCATGCATTGCATGTGAGTGCGAGACTGTATCAACCAGCCTACCTTTTTGGTGACCCGAAATGGGTTCCAACAAACTGGGCGCCTTTCAGGATCCTCTAGTGCAAGCTGGAACCTTCTGAGAACCCCGAATGGGTCAGCATGGGTTTCCCCCAAAACCGAAATACAGATCAAAGTCTGCGCTTCGCCCGATGGCATGGGGACCAACTGAACCGGGTTTGCCGTTCTCAGCCCTGCTGTCGGCCGAGGTAAGCCTCAGCCCCCGTTCGAAAACGTCCCGATGTCCGAGAAGTGGCGAAATCCGGAACGAAGTCGTTCCCGGATCAAATAGGACTCCGAGCAAATTTGGTCATAAGCTTACAACGCCGAGGTAGCCGTAAGATTCATCTTGCCTGATGAACCAGATTGCGTGTTCAAACTTCTTGCCTGGAGGTGCTCCCTTTCGACTTTGATTCTGATGCGCTGACTAGGTGACAAACTTGTAGGATACCGGAAAGGAAGCAAGTGGAATGTAACTCAATAAGGGTAGGTGGTCTTTCTGATTTTCTCTCCGGACGCATCCCAACATTCTCTATCCCCTGGCAATACGAGTGACTTTCAGCTTGGCGTTCTCTCCATTTCTCCGCTTCACACAGCATCTCGCTCTCTCTCTCCCACGGGGAAAAGAACTGGATTGCCTTCGAATTAAGAGGATTGGTTGCCGCGAATCGAACTGTAAAACCACGGAAAAACCGGCGTATGTGCGCCAAAGGTCGATTCCCGAAAGTGCGGAAAGGTTGTGGGAGCCAAACGCCAAACGAAGAAACACATATTTGAATTCAGGTCAACCTCCCGAAAACCTACAGAGGGTTCTGCGAGCCAAGTTCGTAAACAAAAGCAACAAATCTAAAAGGTCGGTTCGCCAAAAGCACGCAAAGTTCGCCGATTGCAGCGTGCACGACTGTGCCCATAGGCCCGACGCCGCACCCGCTCCGCACTCGTTCCGAAACTGCTCCGCACCCGCTCCAAGCCCATCGCACCCGCTCCAAGATCACCATCAAGATGGAGGTGGTTTGTGCAGATACCGGAAAGCCCAATTGATATACAAGGCCATGTTTTGGGCCCACGATTGTTCCCCAACTCGCATATTCCAATTTGCCGAAGGTGGTTCACGTACAACGCCAGAAGTGCCGAGCTTGCATCCAAACGGGCAGGTTTACCGAGTTTACTCTGGCGCCGCACTACGCAATCAAAAGCGGACTGCGAAACATTGCGCAGCTGGAAAGTGCAAACCCCTTGACTTTGATCCGGGAGGTGTCCTCTTTCAGTGGGGGTTCAGACTCCACTTTTGGAGGGAGCCACCCCCAATGAATAGGGGCTTATTCATCCGGGGTCAACAATACTCCTCTGGTTTGGCAACTCTCAAACGCCTTTTTTGCCACCGCGCAGCACGTTTAACAATCATAACCCGGCTAAACAGCAACCCGCGCGCTCATGCCGATCAACTTTCCTTAATCGTTGGCCGCCGTCTCTTTGTCAGCACCGGCATCCAGCAAGCACTGCACAACTCCCTGATGGCCAAGCAGAGCAGCAACATACAATAGTGTGGCGCCATCTTTGGCCGCCTTCTCTTTGTCAGCACCGGCATCCAGCAAGCACTGCACAACTCCCTGATGGCCCTTCCGCACAGCAGTGTACAATGGTGTGCCGCCATCTCTGGCCGCCTTCTCTTTGTCAGAACCGGCATCCAGCAAGCACTGCGCAACTCCCTGATGGCCAAGCAGAGCAGCTAGATGCAATGGTGTGAAACCATCTTTGGCCGCCTTCTCTTTGTCAGCACCGGCATCCAGCAAGCACTGCACAACTCCCTGATGGCCCTTCCGCACAGCAGTGTACAATGGTGTGCCGCCATCTCTGGCCGCCTTCTCTTTGTCAGAACCGGCATCCAGCAAGCACTGCGCAACTCCCTGATGGCCAAGCAGAGCAGCTAGATGCAATGGTGTGAAACCATTGCTGTCTGCCTTCTCTTTGTCAGCACCGGCATCCAGCAAGCACTGCACAACTGCCTGATGGCCCTGCCGCGCAGCCAAATGCAAGGGTGTGCACCATCCGATGCAAGCCTTCTCTTTATCAGCACCGGCATCCAGCAAGCACTGCACAACTGCGTGATGGCCTTGAAAAGCCGCCAAAAGCAATGGTGTGAAGCCATCGCTGTCCGCCTTCTCTTTGTCAGCACCGGCATCCAGCAAGCACTGCACAACTCCCTCATGGCCCTTCCGCGCAGCCAAATGCAAGGGTGTGTAGCATCCTTTCAAAGCCTTCTCTTTATCAGCACCGGCATCCAGTAAGCACTGCACAACTGCGTGATGGCCAACCAGAGCAGCTACATGCAATGGTGTGGCGCCATCTGCCGCCTTCTCTTTGTCAGCACCGGCATCCAGCAAGCACTGCACAACTACTAGATGGCCGTTTGCAGAAGCACTATGCAAAGGCGTCTTCCAACTGTTTGTGTCGGCAGCGTTGGGATCATGAGGCTTCTCCAACAGCTCTAGCACAAGTTGTGCATCGCCTCTTTCTGCCCCTTGCAGCAAGTCAACACCATTTGCCAAATCCTCTGCTTCTGGTTGAACATATTGCCGTACAACAGCCGTCAGGCGCTCAGCATTATCCCACGAACTCTCTGGCCCCAACTTGCCTATGCCGCTCACCAACGCGAGCTGCCTGAAATTCCGCAGGTGCAGTCCTTGCTTGGCTAGCGTCAGGAAAACCCACACACACACAACTACCATACATGTTGTTGAGTTAGTTAAGGAAGCCGGTTGCCAATGCACGTGGAGAACGTCAACATCATTCAGAATGTTGTTGTTGGTTGGATCTTCCTTGACCTCCTAGCAAAGCAAGAACATCGGGTACCAACAGGTAACTGGGAATCTCTTCGCCAAATGGCGTCGTAACGCGTCGAACAAACCCTCGCCATCTTCCTTTCCGCGCTGCTCATCCCGCCACACGGAATACTCCTTCGTTGTCATCACATCCGTGCCATCTAGCAAGCAAACGCACGCCATGAGTGAATTGAACAGGCCTGCGCTCGAGCCGAATGTGCCTCATGCATTGCATGTGAGTGCGAGACTGTATCAACCAGCCTACCTTTTTGGTGACCCGAAATGGGTTCCAACAAACTGGGCGCCTTTCAGGATCCTCTAGTGCAAGCTGGAACCTTCTGAGAACCCCGAATGGGTCAGCATGGGTTTCCCCCAAAACCGAAATACAGATCAAAGTCTGCGCTTCGCCCGATGGCATGGGGACCAACTGAACCGGGTTTGCCGTTCTCAGCCCTGCTGTCGGCCGAGGTAAGCCTCAGCCCCCGTTCGAAAACGTCCCGATGTCCGAGAAGTGGCGAAATCCGGAACGAAGTCGTTCCCGGATCAAATAGGACTCCGAGCAAATTTGGTCATAAGCTTACAACGCCGAGGTAGCCGTAAGATTCATCTTGCCTGATGAACCAGATTGCGTGTTCAAACTTCTTGCCTGGAGGTGCTCCCTTTCGACTTTGATTCTGATGCGCTGACTAGGTGACAAACTTGTAGGATACCGGAAAGGAAGCAAGTGGAATGTAACTCAATAAGGGTAGGTGGTCTTTCTGATTTTCTCTCCGGACGCATCCCAACATTCTCTATCCCCTGGCAATACGAGTGACTTTCAGCTTGGCGTTCTCTCCATTTCTCCGCTTCACACAGCATCTCGCTCTCTCTCTCCCACGGGGAAAAGAACTGGATTGCCTTCGAATTAAGAGGATTGGTTGCCGCGAATCGAACTGTAAAACCACGGAAAAACCGGCGTATGTGCGCCAAAGGTCGATTCCCGAAAGTGCGGAAAAGGTTGTGGGAGCCAAACGCCAAACGAAGAAACACACGTTTGAATTCAGGTCAACCTTCCGAAAACCTACAGAGGGTTCTGCGAGCCAAGTTCGTACAAAAGCAACAAATCTAAAATGTCGGTTCGCCAAAAGCACGCAAAGTTCGCCGATTGCAGCGTGCACGACTGTGCCCATAGGCCCGACGCCGCACCCGCTCCGCACTCGTTCCGAAACCGCTCCGCACCCGCTCCAAGCCCATCGCACCCGCTCCAAGATCACCATCAAGATGGAGGTGGTTTGTGCAGATACCGGAAAGCCCAATTGATATACAAGGCCATGTTTTGGGCCCACGATTGTTCCCCAACTCGCATATTCCAATTTGTCGAAGGTTCACGTACAACGCCAGAAGTGCAACCGAGCTTGCATCCAAACGGGCAGCTGGAAAGTGCAAACCCCTTGACTTCGATCCGGGAGGTGTCCTCTTTCAGTGGGGGTTCAGACTCCACTTTTGGAGGGAGCCCCCAATGAATAGGGGCTTATTCATCCGGGGTCAACAATACTCCTCTGGTTTGGCAACTCTCAAACGCCTTTTTTGCCACCGCGCAGCACGTTTAACAATCATAACCCGGCTAAACAGCAACCCGCGCGCTCATGCCGATCAACTTTCCTTCGTAGCACGGGATTCAGCAAGGACTGCTAGACTGCCCGACGGCGCTGCAAAGCCGCAAGATGCAAGGGTGTGGTGCCATCGTTGGCCGCCGTCTCTTTGTCAGCACCGGCATCCAGCAAGCACTGCAAAACTCCCTGATGGCCCTTCCGCACAGCAGTGTACAATGGTGTGCCGCCATCTCTGGCCGCCTTCTCTTTGTCAGCACCGGCATCCAGCAAGCACTGCACAACTCCCTGATGACCCTTCCGCACAGCAGTGTACAATGGTGTGCCGCCATCTCTGGCCGCCTTCTCTTTGTCAGCACCAGCATCCACCAAACACTTCACAACTCCCAGATGGTCCCGCTATGCAGCAGGACAAGATGCCAGGGTGTGGCGCCCTCTTTGGCCGCCGTCTCTTTGTCAGCACCGGCATCCAGCAAGCACTGCACAACTCCCTGATGGCCAAGCAGAGCAGCTAGATGCAATGGTGTGAAGCCATCGCTGTCCGCCTTCTCTTTGTCAGCACCGGCATCCAGCAAGCACTGCACAACTCCCTCATGGCCCTGCCGCGCAGCCAAATGCAAGGATGTGTAGCCACCGTTGTCAGCTTTCTCTCTCTCTCAGCACCGGCATCCAGCAAGCACTGCACAACTGCGTGATGGCCTTGAAAAGCCGCCAAAAGCAATGGTGTGGCGCCATCTCTGGCCGCTTTCTCTTTGTCAGCACCGGCATCCAGCAAGCACTGCACAACTACCAGATGGCCGTTTGCACAAGCACTATGCAAAGGCGTCTTCCTACTGTTTGCGTCGGCAGCGTTGGGATGATGAGGCTTCTCCAACAGCTCAAGCACAAGTTGTGCATCACCCCTTTCTGCCCCTTTCAGCAAGTCAACACCATTTGCCCAGCCCTCTGCTTCACCTGTGACTGCTGGAACATATTGCCGTACAACCGCCGTCAGGCACTCAGCATTATCCCACCAACTCTCTGGCCCCAACTTGCCTATGCCACTCGCCAACGCGAGCTGCCTGAAATTCCGCAAGAGCAATCCTTTCTTGGCCAGCGTCCATAGGCAAACCCCACCCACACACACACACCAAAAAAACAACTACCAAACGTGTTGTTGAGTTAGTTGATTCTCAATGAACACGCACAAAAAAGGGAGCCGGTTGCCAACGAACGTGGAGAAAAAGCAAGAACTTAATCTAGCAAAGCGGGAAAATCGGGCACCAATAGGTAAATGGGAATCTCTTCGCCAAATGGCGCCCCAACGCGTCGAACAAGCATTCCCCATCTTCATTTCCGCGCAACTCGTCCCGCCACACAAAATACTCCTCCGTTGTCATCACCTCCGTGCCATCGAGCAAGCAAACGCACGCCATGAGTGAATTGAACAGGCCTGCGCTCGAGCCGAATGTGCCTCATGCATTGCATGTGAGTGAGCGAGACCCATGGGTTCCAACAAATGTGCGCCTTTCGGCCCTCAACCCGTATGGGTCGGGATGGTTTCCCCCTAAGCCGTACAACTCAAAGTCGACTTGAGACCTGGCCGCCTTCCCGAACTTGGGGCCCTGAATGAAAAGCAGCTCTCAAAACAATTTGCGGTGCCCGAAAAGATCGGCTCAGAACTGTGTTCGCAAATAGGACGCCAGGCAACCTACCCGTTGCAAGATCTTGCCTGATGCAACCAGATTGGATGCTCAATCTCGGCAAGCCTGGAACGGTTGCCCGCAACCAAACTGGGGCTGGTCCCTTTCGACTCTGATTCCGATGTGCCATCCGCCCTCCCCGGAAAGGAAGCAGGTGGAATGTAACTCAAGGGCAAGTGGTCTTTCTGTTTCACTGTCAGGACGCATCCCGACATTCTCTGATATCGCCTGTAGATCGAGTGAGTTCAGCTTGGCGTTCGACATTCGCCTTCTTATCCAACGCAGCACTGTTTTTTTTCTGATCTGTTTGTTCTCTCAGTCTCGCTCTCTCTCTCTCTCTCTCGCTCTCTCTCTCTCTCTCTCTCTCTGTCTCCCTCTCTCTCTCTCTCTGACTTTTGTTAAAATCAGACTGCTGTTTACTACAAGTGCAAGTGCTGTAATGTTGTTTACGCAAACAATCAAACCTGTAGTCTGCATAGCTCCTATTTTTGCATGGGCTCATGGATGTAGTAAAGCTCAAGGCCTGCCTTCATGTACAAGCTATGTAGCACCATACCACATGTACATTGACATCTCTCTATATATATCTCTCTCTCTCTCTCTCTCTCTCTCTCTCCGTCAACAGTCTCACACTGGTCCATCAGGCTGAGAACTGGATTGTTTGTGTTCTCGCCCTCTTCAAGACTTCGACAATTGAGTTCAACCGTATGCCCAGCTAACACACAGAACCCGGGAGGGCACCACCTCCCATAGATCCGGCACTGTGCTTTCGATTCCAATGAACCCCATGTGAAGCATTGGTTGTTGCTTGAAATGTCGCAACAATAAAAGGCGCACCTGAAAATGTGACATAGTTGATGTCATTTGGGTATGAACTTTAATTAGGGACCCTTTGGTGGACATGACTTAGGTGGGGATTTATGTCCACCAACCACTTTTCATAGGGTTCCCCATTAAAATTCATAGCCATTTGAGAGGTCCCCGACACCGTTGGTTTAAAAAAGACATGCCCGCTGGGCTAAAAACAAATGTGCCCAGGGCAAACTGACACCCGAATCGAAGGGCATGCGGGCTTACCAGGCCCTGGATTCTTAGGAAGGCTTGCCCAATTGAGGGCGAGGTTATGCGGAATCCTGACATGAAACAGAGAGAGAATGGAAGAGATTCCCAAACCGGGGGGGTAAGGAACAAGAGCTTTGACAGAGTTCGATGTCCCTTTCTTGAGAGTTCACCTCCCAAATTCAGCTTGTCCCTTTCCTCCCAGTCCACTTCTTCCAAAAGGGGTTGGAACCCACCCAGCTAACATATCAGCTCCGCGTCAACCGGTTTTCCTGACTTTTGACCCCTACGAATCGACCTTGGTCGTGTGGTCGCCAATTCTCGCGGAACTGAAATGAGAAAGTGCAACCAACAGCAGGTGGCTAGAGCTTGCCTTTTCCTGGGTGCGCCACGGGCTCCTTGTACATTCCAAAGGCGAAGCTATGCCTCGCCGCTCTCGGAGCCTTTCTTCCGCATCGCAAAAGGCAGGGTAGGAAATAAAAGATGAGTTGGAAAATGCCCCCAAACTCTATATGTGCCCTTGCGGTGTCCTTGGATATGAAAATTCCCACAGGTGTGGAAAGCGCCACTCACCCAAGCCACTAAACTCTGGGTCTCCTTGGAAGGATATGCAAATTCCCCAAATGCAGAAAACGATTCCCTGAGAAGCGATTCAACGTGAGGGAAGCGCCACTCACGCAAACCACGACCACTAATCTAGGAGGGAGAACTCTATACAGAGGGTACATGATGATGACCAAAACCCCATGTCCTCTGCGGGTGGCTTTTTTCAGGGCGACAATCTCTAGGAAGTCAAGTGCATAGAAAACTCCGTGCAATGGTCTTCAAATGGGCGCGGATCCACATACAGTGGTTGCTAAATGCTCGGGTAGTGAAGGGGTGCAAACTCTCTATGTCAGTCATAGTCATGGTTTCCTGAGGAACCCCTATTCTTCTTGCTGGTCCTCTGCAGGGAATGAGGGAATGACCCCCATAAACCATCATTCCCCAAACCCGGACTCGGCGAGTCAAGTCCATGAGCATTCCAAATCAAGCCCAAAGGAAACAGGTCCAGGTCCAGGCTCTCCAAAATCCTCCGGGCTTCCCGCCATTGCAGCGCGAGAAGGTCCACTTGCAGCTGCTTCCTAAGCCACTTGAAGTCGATGACAAAAAGTCTTGGGCTCAGAAGGGGGTTGCCTGACTTAGGGGGTTCTCCCCGAACCCCTCATGAAAGGGAATCCACGGCATCAAAGGGCCTCTGTTTTTTTGGCCTTTCAAATGCCTAAAGTCCAGAAACCAGCGATCCCATCCAACCCAAACACGACCACCCAAGCCCTCCGACCCATCCCCAATCTGTGGGTCCTTGGAATTCCCCCAAGGGCGGGGGGAGTTACAATTCGTGTCGCCCAAAGCGTCCTCAGCGGGTTTCCGAGAAGAAAACTCAAACAGCAGGCTGGATCCTCAAAATCCCATGCTCGCACCTGGCATCCGAAAGCCCAACCGAAAAAACCACCCCTCGACTCGCATGCCATCGCAGCGCCAGCCCTCCACCCCGTGCAGCACGGCATCGCGCACCACCGCCTCGCAGCTTCGCGGAGCGAGAGGAGTCCGGCGCATCGGAATCGTCCAGAGCGAATCGTCCAGCCCTCACTCCGAACATGGCACCTGAAAGGCCCCTGCAAGAGGAAAATGATCTGCCAGGTACCCTCCAGGTGCCTTCGGTTAGAAGGGAGGGCAAGGGTTTTGGTATGACCTGGGAATACACCCACAGGATACTGACCCCATTTAGGCACATCTCCGGAAACCGTGTTACTTTGAGCCATTCTGGGTCATGTCCCAAGGGTGTATTCCCAGGGTGTAATACAAAAACCCCGAGACAAGAAAATGGCTGGCGACCACCTACAAAAGTGGGGCCCATTGGGTTTGACCCCCAGCTGCCCCGGGTTTAGTGCATGGCCGTCTAAAGATAAGAGATCAAAGCCCTCCCGTTTTGGACGGGGTTCCTTGCAGAATACATCCAAAAAACATCCTGACTCAAAACCCCCCCTCTGTGGAATCGTCAAAAAGGGCTGGGAAAGAAAGGATATGAACCCAAGAGATATGCATACATGTATTTGAAAAGAGGACGAACATAAAATATGTTTTTTAAAATATGGAGGAAGTAGTGCACAAGCATGAATTGATTCGGAGTCCAGGTTTTTCTGAGTGGCAAGCCAATGAACACCAGACGGTGACCCACTATCATTATCTCCTCTCTATCATTGAAGGAGATGATCCTAAAGGTGACACATATTCCTGGAAATCTCTTATTCGACCCATCCCTCATGGTCCCACAGATGGGCTAGTGGAGAAACCCAAAGGGCCAAAAAATCGTCAATGAGTCCTACTGGCCATCAAAAGACAAGACTTCAACGCCCTCCTATTTTGGTATCTTGGTCAACGGGGGTTCTTTTCATATGTCTGGCCCACTGCATATTTGCATCCCCCCAAGTTTCACCCCATTTGTTTTGTGCAGCATTCACACTTCCCATTGTGCATTACCCACAGCTTTGTGTCTACGACATCCCTTGCATCCACGGCATCCCCCACTTCCCCTGCCCCAACATCCCACTGTGCCCAGCATCATCCCTTGCATCCCTGCATCCTGCTTTTTCATTCATGCCACTCGGGAAAATCTCACAGCATCCCTGCATCCGCCTCGGATGCATCCCCTGCACACATGCAGTCCCTGCATTCTGGCCTGCATTCACGGCATTGCATTCCCTACATCCACTGCATCCGCTGCATTCCCTGCATTACCTGCATTCCCCGCCTTCCCCTCATTCACTGTTTCCCCTGCATTCACTGCATTCCCTTCATCCATCCCCAGCATGCTGCAATCCTTACTTACAACATCCCCAGCACCCCCTACATCCCCTGCATCCTCCGCATCCTGCTAGAGTATGTTTGCACCACAGTTAAGTTGCTGCTCCCTACATGAGGCACCTGAACACTTCCCGTTTTCCCTTCAATTCCCTTTGCACCACCCCCCCCCTCCCCGGCAGGAAAATTGCGGCTCCGTTGAGATCGCATGCCTGCATCGGCTCACTCAGACCCATTTCGCAGCACTCCAACCTCATCGAATGGAATCCCCAACATAGGCCCTCCCCGGGGTTCTCAAATGGTCCACCCTCAACATGATGAATTGCCACACTGAGCTCGGACCGTCTGCTTGCCAAGGGATTGAGGGCCTTTCTTGACGAGTGACATGCCTCTTGCAAGTTGGTGGCCGACGAATGGATCGAAAAATCGTCTGGGGCTTAACAAAGACTCTTGGTGGGCGGTGAATGCAACCCTGTTGGCTTTTTCTCGATTTAACCCCGACCTCCAGGTGGATCACACCATTTGGGACCTAAGCATGCGGCAACCAAGTCTCGGTCCTTGCGTCTAAAAAACAAGCAACGGATCATAGACTAGGAATGCAGGATCCCTGTCCTCGAAGGAAGAACATACGAATCGATGTATCAACAAACTCCTGAATAAACCAAGAAATCGATAAATGCATCATTGAATCAAGAAACAACCAGATAGCTGAACAAACAAGTATACGACTACACAAGTGCACATCTACACGAGTACACAAGAACAACAACCACCAATACAAATAAACATATGTTTTTGTCTTTCTCTAAGGGACCCCCCCCTCCACAAAAAAAAAGAAGTTCCTATTGGTTCCCCATAACAAAAGACGAAAACAACTCCAAAGAGAGTTGTACCCTTACAAGAAGGACAGACAGACCCAGGCCTTGAGGCAGGGGTGCTGGTCCACGGCGAGCGCCATGACGCGGAAGTAGTAGCTCTGGACCTGAAGGGGAAAAAACAAAACCGGTGCTAGGTCCTCCAGAAGAGAGGTTAGAATAAGGGTACCCAACTTTCTTCTGTGGTCTATTTTAGTAGGGGAACCCTCCCAAAGAAGGGTAAAAGGGAACTACTGGGGGACCTAGGGTGGTATGGAGGTGGAGCTGAGGTGATTCCGGGTATCTACGGGATTCATGCCCTTCCCGGTGAGTTCGATCGCTTGGTCTGCAATCCGCAGTGGGTCACGGATTCAAACGGGTGGATTCGAAGTCATCTGAGGGTCGTGGATTCGAATAAATGGGTTCCTTCGCTACATGTGTTTGATCTGCATGGCCCCCGGATCATGTCAGCGTCCGGATCTTGCTCAGCAGATTCGTAAAACAACAAAAAACGAGCGCTTAGTGGGATGTTTCTGTGTTTATTGTTTTAGTGTTTTTCTTAGATGTTGTCAGTGGGATGACCTGACCCAACAAACACTCCAATGCCCAACCCGTCCCACGCTCCCTCTCGTTTGGCCTTATTTGGCCTTAGTTGCCTTGACGTGTGTTGTCCCCTGAGTCAAGTAACCCTTCATCGTGGTTTGAATTGGTGTGTGGGGATTAAGCCCTGGCTTTTGTGGAGGGTTCATGGGAAATGTCTTCTTAAGTACCTGGTTCTGGTCGGGCATTTGCAACTGCTCAAAACATGTGGCCGTGTCTTGCTTCAAAAAACCAACAACCGCAAAAACGGATGTCGCTTTCCCCCCCCGTGGCTTCCCCCATTAAACAAAAAAACCGAAAACAACCACACACCAACCAAAGAAAGCCTGGTGAAAGCAGCAACTCTCTGCAAAAAAGAGGGCGACACCGAGGGGATCTGCTCTTCTCTTTTCTGGTTTGTCTGGAACGCCCGGTTTTTGACCCTCGTTGACCCGTTTTCCCCAACTCCCGAAGAAAAGCAAGACCAGCTCCGAGGGTCCCAGGATCCCAGGGTCCCAGGGGCCTTCTGCAGGGCGCGCTCCTGAGAAGTGGCCACCAGCCACACCCAGGTGCTCTCCTCAGGCCTGAGCAGCGGATCGGGCTGGTGGGGGGGCTGGGGGGTCTCAGAGTACCTCCAAAAAAACGTGCGCCTTTTGGTGGGGCCAAAGAGGGTACAACCAAAAAACGCGGGCCATGTGTGTGTTGTTTCACCTGAAATCTTGGGGATCTCTGCAGACATCTCTGCTGGAACCTTCACAGAAAGTTCTGGGGTCCAAAGATTCCGGGGCTGGGCGAATTGTTGAGTCGTATCTATCCTCTTGGGTGGAAAGGAAACAACGCAAAAACCGGGCCCCATTTTCAGTCAGATCCCTGTTTTGACACATACCCGTGATCAACACTCCCAGCATGGCCCCTCATGAGAAAACTGGGCCTAGTCCCCTGGAGGAAATCCAGAGCTCCGACTCGTGCCCGAATCGCAACCCCAATGGACCGCCCACCTCGGTGGTTCCGAGGCGGGCCCCATGGGCTTGGCTCCGGAGCCAAGCCCAAATCGCTGGCTTCGATTTTTAAGATATTTCCAGGAAGCTGTTTTCCTAGGAAGTTCACCCGATTTCACCCACCGAAAGAAACGGACGGAATAAAGCAGGGTCTTTCCACCCACTGTCAACGCCTTGAATGGATTTGCCAAAAGAATCCAAACTTTCTATCCACCAAACTTGTCCAAACCCAAAAAACGGGGCCAAAGCCAGACACTCAGCGAGTAGGCAACCACAGCAAAACAGCATAGAGTCACAGACACCAATCTGCCCAAACCCATCGACCCACAAATGGATACACTTGGAATACATCCACTCAGTTGTTCAGTGACCCTGGAAAAAAAGGGAACCCTTTTTGGGGGAAGACAATTTTAGTGGGGCAGCCACCAAAAAAAAAAGGAAAAAGGGAGCCACTGAACAACTGAGAATACATCCATTTACCCATTCCCGAGCAACCCTCCGCTTTGGCCTCCCGCTCACTCACTCGCTCACTCGCTCACTCCCGCCAGGCCACGCGCGGCGCATGAGCTGCACAAAGAGCCCGCTGAGGCCCAGCACATCCTCGTGCAGCTTCGCCACCGCATCGCGCACCGTCACCGTCCTAAAATACGGGAAAATTGGGGGAAAATACGCAGAAGAAGAAAAATCCTTGTCGAAAAGGAGTGGGGGGGTTGGGGGAAGGGGGGGAACCGCCAAATCTGTGGGAAAATTCAAATTGCCAAGATCTGCAGAGGGGCCTTTGGCTGATTGAGTTGGCGCCTTGGGCCCAACAGCCCCACGATCCAATGATCGCAGTAAAGCGGTTCACTAGAACCGGGCTATCGACAAGCATGTTTCTCCAACTGGAAGTTCTGATTCAAGCCTGCAATCACGAACTCGGCGGCTCACTAGGTTCGACCCCCAAAATTTCTGCCGGGTCTTTGGTTCAAATCCTGCCCTATCCTTTGGGACCATCAGGAGTCCAGTTCCCCCATCTTTGATGCCTTGAACAACGCATGCGAATCCGAAACCATGGGCAGTTGGGACGGGGCCGATTCGATTCTCGATTTCGTCCATAGGCTCTGAAGCGATTGATCGAACCCGCTGACTCACCGCCCGCGCCAAGTGTCTGGTTCATGAGGTAGAAGAGCCGCATGCCGCAGTCCAGCTCCGACACCTGCGAAGTGAGATGCACTGCGCGACCATGGGGGAAATCAAGGATGACGGAAAGCGACTTTGAGTCACTAGAGAGTTGATGTGAGATAGTAGGGGGGTGGGGGGGGACACCCCAACTTAGATTTGCACAAGCTTATGGACCGAAAATTACCTCAGAATGGCCGATGTTGACGATGTTGACTATGCTGCGTGCTGGGAATGTGGATGATGCTCGGCCCGATGTTGACTATTTTGTGTGCTGGGAATGCAGATACCACACATGGTCGGTCGTCTTTCTTGGACTATGGACATCTGAAACACAACGCACGTATGGTAGCTGATTGCGCTGACCCCAGCACAAAATGCATTTAGCATGAGGGTTGTTTGGGGTGACGCGGCCTACTGGAGCCCTTGCGCAGGCCACCAAAAAGACATCAGGTTTTCCAGACCACACAAAATGAGATCGGGGCATGTTCATCCCTTCAGGACGCGCTGTTTGGGGGGGAGGTGGGGGGGGGGGAAGGAAACGGCGCCATGCACCTCACCATCAGTGCGACTTCGTCTGCGGCTGCTGGTTTGTGGCACACGGTGCTTGGGCAGATGCTGGCAGCAGATGTCGCGGCTCGCATAGACGGAGGCATGGCCTGCTCTTTTTTGCTGCCCACACGGCGCGGCTTTTGCAACTATGACATGGCTCGTGCCAGCGCAAAGCACTCTTTCTTGTCGATCGCTTTCGCATCTTGTCTTGATCCCCGGGTCCCGTTTCGTCGGTGGGCCCCTTAGGCTTCAGCTTCTTGGACCTGCCTCCTGGAACTCGTTCAGGTGATAGAGCTCCTCCGGAGCCTTCTGATCCTGCGTACAACTTTGAGCCAGCTTTTAATTGAGTCATGCCCCACATAGCATCTGTGGGAGCATTGGGTTGGGTTGGGTTGGGTTGGGTTGGGGGGAGGAAGGGTTGGGGAGGCTTGGAAGATCCTTTTTTGGTGCAGAGGGAGGCTACACATCTTTGCCTCAAAGACATGTGTCAGTATGGTCTCATGAGTCATCAAAACCTGGTACTCATGGCGAAGCATCGAAAGGGCGGACTAGTTCGCACCTTGCAGGGTACTCTGCAACTCGCCTTCGTCTACCCGGGGTTTGATTGCCCGTGGATGCCACTGGTGAGTGGCTGAAAAGCATGGCTGGTCCGGAAATGAGAAGTTCTGAGACGCTGGCCATTCTCGGATGTTGGGCAATTTCTGAGGCTTTGGGCAGCAGAGTTTAACCACATGTGAAGCTTAATGCCAACAACGAGATTGAAAGAGGTCCCAAATTCAACAGGTTGCACCTGTTCCATGCTGAGAAAGCCCTCGCCCATTTCTTGACAAGGACCACTGAGTTCTTCAATTTCACCAAGTGACCCGGGTTCAGCTTGAAATCGCCGTGTTGAACCAGGGGTGTAAGAAGCCCTTGGCGTCCGAAAACCGCGCAATAACTCGAACATATCCAACGGAAAAGGGCACCTGCCATAAGGGCAGCGTACTTTGAGACATATCCGTGCGGTGTGTCAGACAGAGACGCAGCTTTGGGACGGGTTCAAAGGTGAACAAACCTGGCGCACCTGCCCTTCGGCGGGGTCCACATGTCACTCTGCTCACATCCACTCAACGAGTCGGACTCGAAACCTGCTGAAGGAGTCTACTCAAGATCATGTAAAGCAAAGGGCGGACATATGTTTGCAGACAAAACCTAGGTGGCTGCCCCGTCCAAAAAAACTATGCATGTAATATAAAGAATTGCGGGGTGGTCCTTCTGCTTTGGCGTTAAAACCGCAAAAAGTGGGTACCCTGAAATTAAGACACACCCAGGTGATCATTTTGGCTTAAGTTGAGGTCAAAATGCGAAAAATAGACCTTGCCCACATCGGCTGATCTTCGGTGCTTGAACCACCGGATGTGTAAAGCTAGGTGCTACCAAAAAAAATGGGCTTGTTTTTAGGCCCCCTGTTTCTTAAAATAAACCCGAAGGAGAATCACCATTTTGGAGGTCCCTTTAAGAACAATGCCCGCTTTCTCTTTGAAGACCGACAGGCCAAACAAACACACATACAAAGAAATCCCTGACCTCTAGGAGACTGGGCTCGAGCCAAAGAGACTTCTAGACGTTTACCTGCAAACCCTAGCGGGTTGCAACAGCTTTCCAACAGACCTCTGTTTGGTGACAAGTAGGGCCAATTGATATGTCACAACTCATGGTCACGGACTGCGACAAGACATGGGGTCTCCCGCCTCCCCGCTCTCCCCGCCCGGGCCAACAAGCAAAACATGGATATCAAAGCATGCTGGGATATTGCGCAGCTGTTCCCAGCTGTCCCTAAACGGATACTGCAAACATCCACGGGAACCCCAGACAGGTTCCAACGTGGCGGCTGGAAGCAAGTGCAAAACCGACCGCTTGGGGCTTTCTGAATAGGTCGGTCTTGTCTTGATTGTACCCCTTGTCTGTCGGTTTTTTTGCCGGAAAACCCGATGGAACACCGAAATCTATGTTGCTACTTTCAGAAAACCCAAGGACCCCCCACCATGTTCATGTTTCCACCTTTAAAAAAAAGCCGTGTCCACACCAAAAAAAATCCCCCCCCCCCCCCCGCAGCTCCGCGCCGAAAACGTCCCCCCGGCCCGCGGTTTCGGCGTCGAGAGCGCTTCGAGGCGCGCCGGCCTGCTGCATGAGCTCCAGGGACAGCACCTCGATGAGCTGCGCGTTGGAGAGGTCCTCCAGCCTCACCTCGCGAGCCGAGTGGGGTAGGGGGGGGGGGGGCAGAGTCTCCGGCCGTGAGCTTTCGGCTTATGGGTTGGACCCCGTGAAAAAACCACCGAGAGAAAAAAGGAGAACAGCAAAAAAAACAAAAAAGCGAATACGGACCCCCCCAAAAAAAAAGCGAAACAAAAAAACACGTGTTTATTCATAGGGGTCCCCTTCAAGAGTGGTCTGATTCCCTTTGCGTGTTTTTCTTGGTGGTTTTTCGGGAAGGCAAAAGGAAACCCGCAAGTTGACCCTGTCCATTCACATGGAACCTGACAAAAGTCGGGGTGGCTTGGACGATGTTCCTTTAACAGGAAGCCTCGGGTGGGTTCCATGTTAATGAACAGAACTGTTTTTCTTTAGGGGACCCCCTTTAAAACAACTCCAAACACTACAAGGAAGGGCCAGGGCCATCACAAAAAGACAGACCAAAATATACGGAACAGCCAAAATAGATTCGCTTTCCTTTGGGTTTCTCCAAAAGAAACCTTTTAAAGGGAACCCCCAAAGGCACACAGCCGAGTCGTACCGGACAGTCGAATCTGACAGGAGTGTTTTTTCTTTCTCCGTGGGCGACTGTCGTCTTGAAACCACCCCTTGTCAAGGACAAGGGGTAATCAAGGAAATGGGATTATGGGGGATAATGAAGCCACATATGTTTTTGGAGGGGGCGGGTGGTGCCATCTGCTTCCAACTGTACATCTAGGGGCTTGACTTTTCTTTGGGGAGTTTTTGGGGATTTTCGTCCGCAAACCAGTTTGGAGGACGTTCCCTATTAAACTTCATCGTCATCACGAGGTCATGTAGGAGTCATATCCACGCATAGACCCTGCACGCCTATGTCGAGGCGTCTGCTCGTAGCGGTAACATGTCCTCTTCGAGCATCAAGAGTTCAAAGAACAGCTCCGGTACCAATTTGTTGTGCGGGAACCTACTCAAAAAGGAACGGGGCTGACGGCTGAATAAGTGTGCACATACTCTCATGATCAAGGCCGAATTCGGTCTCGCCGTACCAAAGGCAAAACCCCATTCGAATGACTTGCGCCCTTGTGTTAGGGTTCATTGACCAAATGCCATGGGTTCGCGAAAACGATCAAAGTGCTACCACGAAAGCCCCCCTACCTCTTCTCAAGCGCGAACACGTGTTTCCTCAGAAGCTTGTAGCAGCACTACACCCCGCTAAACAAGGCAAAGCTTCCACTCGCTCACGTGGATCTCCTGGACTCTGAAGGTGTCTCCCAAGATTCACAACTCCCCTTCTGGACAAGGCCTTGGAATTCTCTCAAAACTAGGGGATTCCTAATCTGCTAGCTTGTCTTTTGGATTCCGAGAGCCAACCAAAACCGAGCTATGCCCACCTAGCTTCGGCTTTTTTTCGAGGTACCCCCTGTTTGGTTGTCTCAACGCGGAACCAAAAGAGAAACCACAATTGAAATCGGAATCCCAATTCCAAAAATGGAAAAAGAAGAATTCAACAACCTCTTTGTACCTCTTTTCACACACACACACACACACGCGCACACACACACACCACACACACACACACACCCACACACCCACGCACGCACGCACGCACGCACGCACGCACGCACGCACGCACGCACGCACGCACGCACGCACGCACGGACGCACGCACGCACGCACGCACGCACGCACGCACGCACGCACGCCCGCACGCACTCACGCACGCACGCACGCACGCACGCACGCACGCACGCACGCACGCCCCCGCGCGCGCGCGCGCACACGCGCACGCGCACGCGCACGCGTGCGCACACACACACACACACACACCTACCCACCTACCCACCTACCCACCTACCCACCTACCCACCTACCCACCTACCCACCTACCCACCTACCCACCTACCCACCTACCCACCTACCCACCTACCCACCTACCCACCTACCTACCTACCGACCTACCGACCGACCGACCGACCGGCCGGCCGACCGGCCGACCGGCCGACCGACCGACCTACCGACCTACCGACCTACCGACCTACCTACCTACCTACCGACCTACCGACCTACCGACCTACCGACCTACCGACCTACCGACCTACCGACCTACCGACCTACCGACCTACCGACCTACCGGCCTACCGACCTACCGACCTACCGACCTACCGACCGGCCTACCGACCTACCTACCTATCTACCTACCTACCTACCCTAGGCGGCAACGCCCGTCTTCCCTGCGGTTGCGGATGATCTCTCGAGCGGCGCCTCCGCCGCGCCGGCGAGGCCGCAGATCAGCGAGACCAGCAGCACCTGGAGACGGGAGGAGTCGGGCTGCCGTTGCTGTGGCTCGGCTTGCCTGGACCCTCAACTAGGTTCTTCAGTAGAGAGGGTAGAACAAGGGTACCCGATTTTTTTCTGTAGTCTATTTTAAATAGGGGACCCTTCCCCAAAAAAAGGGTCAAGGGCACTACTGGGGGAAAGGGGAAACAACATGAATTTGGGAGGAGTTTGAGGGAAATCTTGACAGACCTCTGTTTGGGTGAGTAGAAATGTGGTTCTGCGTGTCTTGAAATACAGGAGCCGCTCAACTGGGCGACTTCCGTTCGGCTTCCCTGTCAACCAACCCCAACAAACCTACCAATCGCCAGGTGGAAAGTAGGGAACTGGACAAAATGGGAAAATACGCATCCTCTTTTGGAGGAAAGTTGAAATAAAGAATTGGAATTGAAAAAGAACCACCAATTTTGGAGGTCCCCCATTGGAAAAGAACCAAGTAACTTTAGCGTTGGGGTTGGCTATACGATGTGTCGTGGGCATATGGCTGCATCATAATTAGGTAAATGTGTGCATCAGAATCATTTGAATCAAGTCGGAAGTGAAATGCTAAAATCAAGTTGGTGGCAGTTTCTCCAAACTGTCAACAACAGCTCCAAACCAAACCGTTTAACGGCTGGACATTTCTGCATGTGCATCCCAGTTGACGCGAGTTTCCTTTTGGGGTCCCTTGTAAAACCAACCATCCAGGATAGCTTGTTGCTCCAATTTCTGCACACAACCAAACTCCCGATTGCGTGTGTGTTGCCATGCAAAACCAGCAGAAGGCTTGCCAGCTGTGGTCACATTAAATCCGCAGGTAGAAACATGTCAAATCTCAAACTGGCAAAGTGGCACTTGGACACCTTCCAGTCGAATTGACTTCTGGCAAAGTAGCCATCCATTTCGCGGAAACGGCCCAGAAGCCAGGGTCGCCCAGCTCCAGCGATAGGCGGAGCTGAGCGATAGGTACGCGCCCATGGAACCCACGGGCGGCAAGGCGTGAGCCGGACGGAGCGCGACAGGGCCAGCGTGAGCTGGATGTCAAAGCCACTGAGCGCTAACCAGGCCCCAGGGTGAGTTGCTTCAACCAGCGGCAAGTCGCAATGGAAAGATAGGGCTCGGTGTCCTTCCGGCTTCCCATCAAAGAACATCCCAAAGGTAGACATGAGATGACACCGCCCAAAACGCGGCCAAGGTGTTGGCTGGAATTAACCTTAGTTAGGAGACATCAGTTCCTAAACAACAATCACTGGATTTCCCCGAAAGTTGTTCAATCTACTGGAAGCCACCAATGGATGGAGACAGAGAAGTGAGGAAGTGATATGATTGGAGGCATTTCCCGTCTGTTAATCCTGGAAATTGGTAAGCCTCCATCATATTGTCGTTACAGCGGGTTAAAGGAGCTGGTAAGAAGGGAATCATTTCGCTCACATCCATTCGCTTCATTCATTGACAGCTCCTGGCTCCCTTCGTTCCCCAGTCTCTATAATTGACTTTTTGATTTATTTTTGGTCGTAAAAGCTATTAATCTCTGAGACATAGGAAATAGAGAGGAATTATTATATTGGATTTGTGTTAATAGGTGAGTTCACGACCTTTCCAACGATAGGAAAGTGAGGGAGAGAAACTTGACAAAGAAGATTATGAACTCAGATAAAAGCATTCTCATGTCCTTTTCATTATCTATCTCTTCTTATTTTATTTATATTTGCTTATCTTTCTAATGCTTTTTCACTTCCAAATCCTATATCCTGTTAACCTACTATTATTTGCTTTGTTTACAAGTCTTTTATCAGCTATTAAGCATTAGATTTCTATATCTTTATCATATTTGTATTCCTTCTGTCTCTTGGTTTTTATCTTTCCACTGAAACGATCCCCACTTTGGGAGGTTCCCTTGAAGGGAAATGGCTTCGAAACCTTGTTGAAGCCCCCAAGGTTCCGGGCAGAAACCGTTTCTTTTTCGGAGCTTCCCTCCCACTCAGCTCTGAACAAGGGAACCTTCAAGACCCAAAACATGTCCCAGAAGCTCACTCGCCAGGTCGCCGCCTGAAAAAACACGAGCTCAGAGGCGTTTGTGTGCCGGAACCCCTTGTTTTGGTTGGATCTGAAAAGGGAAGCCAAACGAAAGAAACACGAAAACAAAATCCTCCCGTGGGATTTGACGCCCAGGAGACTTCCAGCGCCTGGCCCATGGCCGGCCAGGCGCACCCGTGCCTGCGCAAAACATCGCTCCGGTGTTGGTAGGGCTGGCTGAAAGGGAGTTACCCTAAAGTGGTATGTACAGGGAAAAGAGGGAAGCCAACCATACAAAGAGCTCTTAATTGTTGGAAACACCCATTCTGTTCACAAACAGGTTGGGTCCCCTTATTCTGACACGTAACTTGTAGGTAAACCAACAGATGCACATTAGAAGAAACGTGGAGAGTTCCCTGCAGTATTTGTTGCAGAAGGCCGCAAGTAGGGGCAGTTATGAGCCTGTTCAGAAACCAGCAAGCTTCAATCTGGTGGTGACATTGTACTGAATAAACACCGGGGTGGCAGGCGATGGTGACAAGTTTGATGACAAGCTTGGTGACAAGTTTGATGACAAGCTTGGTGCCAAGTTTGGTTTCAAGTTTGCCGGTCGCCGCGTCATCACGCCGGGCAACTTGGATGGACGAAGTCTTCGGAGTCGCGCAAGAAGGTGCAGTGCTGGGAGATCTTCTCAGGTTCCCGGAGATTGACGAAGCAGTGGCACTACTTGCCGGACTAGCAGTGGCATGGCCGGTTGACTACCGGTATGGCTGGAACCTGGCAGGCCCGAAGCACCAGAATGAACGCACCCAGATGTAGTCTCTATGGCACCGGACTGTGCCCCAGGGATCTCGTCAAATCGGTTGTCTGAAGAGGATCGAGAAGCACTTCGACAGGCAGCCACTGGAACACTTCAGTTCGTGAAGCTTGCCAAGCAGGCCGAGCATGGGAACGCCTTCATTCTTCAACCTTGGAGCGCTGTGTGGAGCAGCTCTCCTTTGGCAACACTTCAAGAAGAAGTTCCTGGCTGCAGACCTCGCCAGCGGACAGATCAGTGTTGCTTTGGAGCGCAAGATGAGAAGAAGCAACCGATCCACAAGCCAACTGGTCTGCAAGGAAACCTGTCGCTGCGCAACGCAACCAGGAAGTGCCAAGGCCATGCGACTGGTCATGGAGTTCTGCAGTCATCCTCCAATGGCACCAGCAGAACAGCGCAGGCAGCTGTGTACCACCATCAGCTGTGCCAGGCATTGGTCAAGGACTTCAAGAAGTTCATCAACGGCAACAACTACACGAATGACCTCATCTACAAGTGTCCCAAGTGCAAGGACGAAGTGCTCCACCGGGCACTCAGCATACACTGGTGCCACGGGAATGTCGTCATGCGAGCTCTTTTCCCGACACCAGCGAGCTCAGCACCGGTGACTCCAATGCCCTGAGCAGATTGATGAGTTCCAGAAGAAGGCACGCAGGAAACACAACTTGGATCACATCAAGATCCAACTGCCTGATGACCTCAAACTCAGCGCCATCAACATGCTGGCGTTCAAGCTGCTTCTGACCGAGCTGGTAAACGACAGCGTCAACATTCTGTCCGGAACAGATGCAGAAGCAGAAACACTGGTCACAGGATCAACTGCGTCTGGCGCTTCTTCGAACCCTCTTCGGAAAGCAGATGGTGGTGAAAGGAGTGTGCACATCATTGCACGCGGAGACAGTGGACAGAACCGTCACCTTACCGCATGACTATCACGGGCGACGTCAAGATGTGGAAGGTGGACAAGATCGAAGACCCGCGCACTCTCTGCGGGGGAAGGTGTGCTGTGAGAATTGGTCGATTGCGTTCCGTTTCCGGCCCAGCTCCACGAGGGAACGTGGACAGGACCCAGATTCAGCCAAGGACTGCGCTCTTCAGGCCTGGCGATGCACCTGGCCCTGTGGCCATTGAGGAGCTGACGAGCAACCGCATCACGACAGCGACCGACACGTCCCAGAAATCCAATTCGGCGCCTGGACTCCTCACGGAGACTTTCCTGCAAGGCCAGCCGCGCAAACAGCAAAACCAGCCTCTTCCAATGAAGCAGGCTGCTCAAAATGAATTGTTGGCCAAGCCCTGTATCCCAAGACAAGGATTAAGGTTGCCTTGGAACAGCTCAGACAAGAACGGCCACTGGCGGGTTGCTTCTGCAGACCTTGCAAGTTGCTTCCTGGCGGTTGAGCCGCCGTAGAAGGTGAGCCGCAGCCAGCTTCCTTTGGTTGAATCTCAGCTGCTTCGGACGTTCCTCCTGCTTCGTCAGACGTCCCTTACGAGGCGCAAACGCGGCACGACCCACTTGTGGATCAATTTGCCTTTCTAAGCGGTGCAAAGTCGCACGTCACTTTGACGGCCGAAGCAAAAACCGTCTCAACGCACACCGCACAAGGGAAGAGGAAGAGGAAGCAAACGTGCAGCCACAAGCCTGCGCATACGGGATGCTGGTCCAACTTCATCAGAAACTTGAGAAGCAGGGAACGAAAGGTAGCGGATGGTATCGGCGTGTCCCTGGCTCATGCCATCTCATCGTGTGTCGTTTCGCTTGTGCCTCTTGCAGGGCAACCACGGTCCTACAACATAGGACTCACGCCTTAAAACTCCAAGCCCGCTGGAGCATCAAAAATCCGCGCAACCCATAATCTGCATCGAAAGTCCACGCAGCCGATGATCTGCAGCCCGCAAGCCGCATGAGCTAATCCGTAGACCACACAATCCGCAACCCGCTAATCATTGCTGCTTCCAATCAAAGACGGCCCTGGGATTAAGAATGAACAAAGCGCATTATTCATCCTTAGTCTTTTGGGAAGTGTGTAGTGGGTAAAAGCTTCAGTCTTTGAACAGGTGTATGGGGACTCTTGCATCAAAGATGGCCCTGGATTAAGAATGAACAAAGCGCATTGTTCATCTTTAGTCTTTTGGGAAGTGCGTAGTTGGTAAAAGCTTCAGTGTTTGAACAGGTGTATGGGGTCTCCTGAATCAAAGATGGCCCTGGGATTAAGAATGAACAAAGCGCATTGTTCATCTTTAGTCTTTTGGGAAGTGCGTAGTGGGTAAAAGCTTCAGCGTTTGAAAAGGTGTATGGGGACTCTTGCATCAAAGATGGCCCTGGATTAAGAATGAACAAAGCGCATTGTTCATCTTTAGTCTTTTGGGAAGTGCGTAGTGGGTAAAAGCTTCAGTGTTTGAACAGGTGTATGGGGACTCTTGAATCAAAGATGGCCCTGAGATTAAGAATGAACAAAGCGCATTGTTCATCTTTAGTCATTTGGGAAGTGCGTAGTGGGTAAAAGCTTCAGTGTTTGAACAAGTGTGTGGGGTCTCCTGAATCAAAGACGGCCCTCGGATTAAGAATGAACAAAGCGCATTGTTCATCTTTAGTCTTTTGGGAAGTGCGTAGTGGGTAAAAGCTTCCGTGTTTGAACAGGTGTGTGGGGTCTCCTGAATCAAAGACGGCCCTCGGATTAAGAATGAACAAAGCGCATTATTCATCTTTAGTCTTTTGGGAAGTGCGTAGTGGGTAAAAGCTTCAGTGTTTGAACAGGTGTGTGGGGTCTCCTGAATCAAAGACGGTCCTCGGATTAAGAATGAACAAAGCGCATTATTCATCTTTAGTCTTTTGGGAAGTGCGTAGTGGGTAAAAGCTTCAGTGTTTGAACAAGTGTATGGGGACTCTTGAATCAAAGATGGCCCTCGGATTAAGAATGAACAAAGCGCATTGTTCATCTTTAGTCTTTTGGGAAGTGCGTAGTGGGTAAAAGCTTCAGTGTTTGAACAGGTGTGTGGGGTCTCCTGAATCAAAGACGGCCCTCGGATTAAGAATGAACAAAGCGCATTGTTCATCTTTAGTTCTTTGGGAAGTGCGTAGTGGGTAAAAGCTTCAGTGTTTGAACAGGTGTGTGGGGTCTCCTGAATCAAAGACGGCCCTCGGATTAAGAATGAACAAAGCGCATTGTTCATCTTTAGTTCTTTGGGAAGTGCGTAGTGGGTAAAAGCTTCAGTGTTTGAACAGGTGTGTGGGGTCTCCTGAATCAAAGACGGCCCTCGGATTAAGAATGAACAAAGCGCATTGTTCATCTTTAGTTCTTTGGGAAGTGCGTAGTGGGTAAAAGCTTCAGTGTTTGAACAGGTGTGTGGGGTCTCCTGAATCAAAGACGGCCCTCGGATTAAGAATGAACAAAGCGCATTGTTCATCTTTAGTTCTTTGGGAAGTGCGGTGCGTAGTGGGTAAAAGCTTCAGTGTTTGAACAGGTGTATGGGGACTCTTGAATCAAAGATGGCCCTGGGATTAAGAATGAACAAAGCGCATTTCCGTTGAATCCTTCCAAGCTCCAGGGCTTCGTGATTTCGGAAGCCTGATTTCCCAGGTCCCCCTCTCCACGCCTTTGAATTCGGCCGGGCCTTTCAAATGCGGCCTCAGGCGGTTCAATACCGAGCCGGCTCGCAGACTCGACTGTAAAAGGCGCCCTGGTGAGTTGCCAACGCTTCTAAAAAGGGGATGCCTAGTTAGAGAGCACCCAACACATGTCCACCTTGCGTGATTCTTTCCTCAACATGACTTCCTTGAAAATGGTACATGTGATAACACACGACGATGCAAATGATGAGAGGAGAAGTGACATTGTGGCTCTGCTTGGCCCAATTCACAGAGAACTTGTCATGCGGGTGATGCGCATAATGCCGTTGATGAGGTGTGGTGCTGGTATTGTGGGGCCATACTGATGATGCTGGTGATGCTGGTGATGCACGTGATGCGGGCGATGCAGTGATGCCAATAGTACGTAGTGATGAGGCTTAAAGGAGACGCACTTGGCCTTGTTGCATGGAAAATCCAAATCAGAGCCTGCCCTAAAATAGATAACTTTGGAGTATTTCAAATACATGTTTCGCACAAGGTCGCCTGAAACAAACCCCGCAGCCAAGCGTTGCCACGTCTTGATCAAGCCACCTTTGCCTTGCTGATTTCATGAAGCCAGGTGCCAGGGCGCAGAATTCCCCTTTCAAGGGAAAGGAGGTTCTGGTAAGAGTGGCTGCATCATCGTTAAACAAGCGGTTGAAGCGACATGGTGCAAACTTGCGTGGAACACGCAACCAAAACAATGCCTCAAGGTGGATGTTGTTCATCATCCCCTAAAAATCACGGCTTTGCGCCACACAAAGAAAGAGGTGTTGTTTTCTTTGCCAAAGGGGTTCTGATCAAATCAGTTCTGGGAGCCTTCCAGAGCCTGTCACGAGTAAAAACCAAAAACAAACCCGGGGGAACGGCCATCTCGCCGCCCCTGGAAGGAGACATCGCTGCCGCTCGCGCTCGCGTGAAGCCCTGCTTGTACGCTCCGTATGGCTCGCTCATATATCATGCAGCAGGTTCGCCTTGTCCAACTCAATGCTGTAAGCAATCAAATGTGCTTTATTCTAAGTTGGATGAAGTCCGGCTATGCACATTCGATGGCGTGTAAAACCGACAAAAATCACATTTGCTTCCCAGTAATGTAGGCTATCTGGTCAGTGTGGTGGTTGTTACCACTTGAGGTTTGTTGCCAGGAAGCTTGTTTGCTTCATGCGGGCAACCAACAACATGCGCATTCTGTGGTTGATCCAACTCAATCCCAGCTTGCCTTTCAGGTCCCACTGCACATTTCGCGGTCGAAGTTGGTGACATGTCCCATGGGCCACTTTCGGCCTACCTTGAGCCTGCCAGCGGCTCGGACGGCTCTGACTCGTGTCTCTCGCGCTCGCGAAGGTGTGTTCCCTCTCGCGCTCGCCGACTTCGACATAGGGTCGATGTCCTGACGTTCTGCATGCAAACATCTTTCTCCCGGGAGCCCCAGCCTGGGTTCAGTCGGCTTCAGCGCAAAAAACGCCTGGCAACCTCTTTGTCTGTTCTTGGCTGTTGCTTTCACCGGATGAGTGCGGCGAAATCCCAAGCGCAAGGGCAACTGGTTCCTGAAATGGGCCTGTGTCTTTTAGGGTACCCTTTAAACGGAGTGTCTTGAAACGGAAACCAACACGAAACCCGCCTCTTTGTTGCTTCCCGGGTCCCTATCTTATTTTGAGACACCCAAATGGGACCAATGGGAATCGTTCACCAACATTCTACCCGTGACGTACGGGCCAAGGCCCCCTCTCTACCAGACCGCCAAATAAGCTTTGTGGCTGGTTGATTTCAAAGGAAATCCACCAGAAGGAAAACAGGATGAAAGCGCTTGTTGGTTTGTTGATTCACTTGAATCTGAACGCAATTCTTCCTCTCATTTAGAAAAGGCACCCAGTTGCTGCCGTGGTGCATCCGGGGCATAAATGGGTCTATCGGCAAGACTTAAAGAAAAACCAAGCGTACCCCCTCCCCCGAGCAAATTTTTGAGCAGCACCGGCGACGCGCCTTTCGCCCCCCTTGCGGCCCTTTTTGCGCTTCGCCATCTTCGCCATCTTTGCCATCTTCGCCATCTTCGCCATCTTCGCCATCTTCGCCCCGCTCCATCGGGTCCATGCACTGCTCGGGCCCCTCGCCAACTCTCACAGCACTTCCCATCCTCGCTGCCCGCTGCCACCTGGTTGCATGGGCCGTCTCTCCGGCGCCCAGCAAAGGATCTCAGGAAACCACCAGACAGATTTCCCAGCTTTCGTCTGCTCCTCTTGCGTCCACGCCGCGCCACGAAACTCGGACTCTTCTTCGACTTCGTGGAGCCAGCATCCAGCGCCCGGCAGATTCTGCTGGAAGACAACCCAACAAACCCACCTTTGAAAGCTGGGGATTCACGCCAGATCTGGAGTCCATAGCCAGTGTCATCTTTCTTTTGACTAAGGCTTATCCGTCTTTCGTCTCAAACTCTTGTTAGGGCTCCGCTGACACAATGATTCCGCACAGGCCCACGCTGCGCGGCACCGGGATCTGCCCCACTGCCTGATCTTTTGGACGGCAAGCCTCACTGTTTCGATGTCACTGTCATTTTCTACAGCCTTATGACATCTGCTGTCGAATGCTAGCTCGTAGTCATGCTTGAGGGCGCTGTGCTGCTTGTTGGCGGTGCGCACGCTTCCCTTGCTCAGAGTGAAGCATCTGCCACACAGCATGATATCATAGTGCTTCTCTGCAGCCTCGTTAAAAAAGCTGGCCCGAATCTCGCCTTCTCTATCCAGCAGCTCGACCGAAAAACCATTCCATCTGACGCAAAAGCCGAGAGATCTCAGCAGCGCAGATACGCCGAGAACGGCGCCACCCGCCAATTCTCGTCCCAGAACCCGGCGGCCGCCACACCCCCGTAGCCCTTCCACCGGAAGTCCGGGCCGCTGATCAGGAAATCCGGGAGCCTCAGGCGGGTTTCCAGGTGGAACAAAGGGGTGGGCCTCGACCCAAGCAAACAAACAAACAAACAAAAAAATAAATTATTCCAGCGTCGGCCCCAAACAGATTGCAAAAACACAATGGTGCACTACGCAAGTCCAAATTTTGTGCGCCGACGATGAACACGCTTGTGCCAATAGTGAAACTCTCTTGTGCGCCGACGCTGGACCAGGAACACTCTTGTGCGCCAACGGTGACCACACTTGTGCGCCAACGAGGAACGCCCGGCGATCTGACAGCCCTTTCTGTTTAGAAGCATAAGAACACCAACAGTAAACTGTTTGGGAAAAAAGGACACACAAATCGGATCAACAAAAGCAAGAACTCATTATAGGTCAACGAATCCGGGCTCGACACAAACCGGCCGCCCTAAGATGGTGCATTCCTCGTGGATGCCAGCTCTCTTGTCCCAAGAATATGGATCCATTCGGTTCCGTGGTTGACATTACCCTTAAACCCACCCCGAAGGGAAAATGGAGAGTAACCCAAATCAATGGTGATATGGGTTTGTCAAAAAAGGACACACCCATGACCCATACCCGCTCGTCGCACCAAGAACCCATCCGACGACCAATCCAGCCAGGCGCATGTTGGAGAAGGGCGCCCGCGTGTGGGGCTGGTTGCTGGCGAAGGAAAAGGACACCAAATCCACCAGCGCCTACGCGCAGGACCCGGCCTGCTTTCATGTATCTAGTTACACCTTCCTTCATCTTCAGGGATGCGTCTCCTTAACAAACTGCCCGAAACCTGGAGAAAAAAGCAACAAGTGAATTCGAGTTCTGAAAGGAACGATGGGAGAACAGAATGTTCAGTCAACCTTTCGCATGTAGTGCCCTCAGCAATTCTCCAACCAAATCCCGACCGGCATGTTTGGGAAGAAACAAAAGGCCGCCGTTCACCCAACGGGTTTGCGAATTGTTGGGCACCCCCACAAATGGACTTTGGCGTTCCTGTTGGTTTCCCTTTAAAACCACATTAAAAAAATGGGAGACCCTCAAAAACAGACACCCCAATATCAACCAACTTGAGATTTAGTCATCCTAGGTGCCATAGGCATAAGTCCCGATTCTGGTTCTGAGCATGGTTCATGGCGAACCACAAAAAGAGACCTTCTCACCACTCCCACCCTTCGACTCGGCTCCAATCGGGGGAAAAAAAGGAAGAAGAAAAAAACGAGTGGGGCTTCTTGGCCCGGTCCACGGTGTGTAGAAAAAAACCACCTGGGTATGGGTCAGAACTAAACCACCAGCGGACCGCAGGTTTTGGTCCATGTTTCCACTTACCAGGGTTCCATTTGGGGCCCATTTTGACCCACTGCCACCTCACCTCTCGCACCCGACTCGAGTCCCGAGTGCCCGCCTGGTCCTCCAACGCCGTGACCACCACATCCATCCCCACGCCGGCTTCGACGGGCGCCCGGAAGACCGCGCCGAAGGCGCCGGCGAAGGCGCAGCCGCCCAAGGCAAACGCCGAGGCGTTGTCACCGGTGAACTGGCAGGTGAGTCACTCGCTCAAAACCCGGGGGAGTAAGGGACAATCCCAACCAATGGTTGCGGATATCCGCCTTCTTCTTTCTTGAAGCATGGTTCTGGGTCAAACATGTTAATACCGGGTGTTGATTGTGACTCAGGTGGCGAGGCGGATGCGGAAGGCGGATGCGGAAGGCGTGTTGAAAGAAACTGGGGTTCAAACCAAAAGCGCTTTCTGGGGTTCAACCAAAAGCGCTTTGGCAATTTGCGCCGCCTCTTGTTTTTTTTTTGGCGTCCCGTTTGAAAGCGGGGCTTTGGCAGTGGGAGACTTCAATTCTGTGATCTCCAAAGGCCACTTTGGTGACTAGGAGTGAGTGCCCAACGAATGCTTTGGGCCCAGAAACGTAAACTGGTCCCAAACGGGACCCTTTGGTGGACATCATTTACATGGGTGTCTTTTTAGTTCCATCACACTTTGGAGCCTTAAAAATCATGGCAAAATAAGCCCAAAAGGAAACCAACCATTTTAGGAGATCACTCTTTTTGAGAACCCCCCCCCCCTGCCACCAAAACAAAACCTACTACAATATGTTTGAGAACCCCCCCAAAAAAAATATATATATATATATATATAAGCTCAGGTGATATCCCCAACAGCATGCGGTGTTTCTTTTTGTACTCGCACCACCCCGCACGTGGAACGCTGGTGGAACTCTGGTGGAACCCTCGTGCAACCTTGCCTCAGGGCCACCCCGGACCACCCCAGAGCCTATCGGGCTATCGGGTCTCAGCCCAAAGCTTTCAGCTGTTGGGGAAAAACATAGACCCCAGATAGCGAAAACCAGGTGGATGATTGCACACCAGGACCTCTAACAGCACCCCCCAAGAAGAGCGCAGCAAACATCACCCCCCCCCCCCCCCCACGTCCAAAACCAGCACCTGTACCAGCATGCATGGCCCCAAGCCCCCCCCACTCGCACGCACCTTCACCAGCACCTCAAACAGCCCCCAAACAGAATCCCAAAACAGCACCTGCACCAGCTGCATGCCCTATAGCACCCTACAGTCAATCTTGCAAAGATGCGCCTGCACCATCACCTGCATGCCCCCTAGCACCCAGCCGTCTATCTCGCAAAAATGCGTCCGCACCGTCGCCAGCACCTCAAACAACACCCCAAACAGCACCCCAAAACGGCCCCAGCCCCAGCACCCAAACCACATGCGCTAGCACTCTGCCGTCAATCTCGCAAAAATGCGCCCGCACCGCCACCGGCACCTCAAACAGCATTTCAAACTGCATGCCCCCTAGCATCCTGCCGTCAATCTCGCAAATCACTTTCGCCTCTTTATTAGAAGTCAGAACCGCTATAGCTTTCAGCTATCTGGGGAAGAAACCAAAAAACGGCTATGTTGAGACCCCCCCCAAGAAAAAAAACAAACACACACACACAAAAAAAAACGGCACTTTCCGATGAAATCGGCCTGCACCGGCCACTGCTCTTCTCCCCGCCCCTGTCCCTGCAGGCGTCGTGCCAGGCCCAGGTGCAAGAAGCGGTGGCTCGAGCGCAGCTTTTGGGCTGTGGACCAGGTCAGCACCTGGAACAAACAAAGATGCGGCTCCAAGGCCTCAGGGAAGCTATCTATGTATATATATATATACATATATATATATATATAGACTATAGATGTATGATATTGAGGAGCCTACGGCGTGCCCATGTTCATATCCGGACACTTAAATAGGCCAACAAGAATTCCAGGGGATACCGCCGGCCCAGAAAACCAATGTAAATATCCGGTTTAAATAGGTGCTTTGCGACTATTGATTTCGGTCTCAAAAATAAATTCATCCAAACACTTAGATCCCTCGCAAATCGTGGGGGAAAGTGAAAAATATGTGCTTTACGCTTATGTGAAATGAGCTTGCAGCATGCTCTTGAATTTTTCTCGGACTCCCAAGGCACCCCCCACCCCACCCAAACCCCAGACCCTCCCTTAACAGCAACCACCAAAGCGGTGCAAAAGCCGAAAGATACCTCCCAACATCCCTTCCAACCCACGCCCGTCCAGCCAGAGGTGACCTTTTGGCTTTCCGTGGCAAAGCATGTAGACCAATCTAAAGCCGGTGGGTTTGCCCATCTAACTCGAACCAAACTCAGCGATCAAAGGGACACCAGTGGCAGGGTGGATTTAAACACCAGTGGCAGGGTGGTAGTTCGGCTTGGTGGTTTGGAGTGGCAGGGTGGTAGTTCGGTTTGGTGGTTTGGCGAAACGAGTACCTTCCCCATTTGGCTTCAAAGGGAAGCTTAAGTCCCCAAGCCGCAAATCCAAACCACGAATCGTCGCCCCATGTATAAAAGGAAGTGGCCCCGGTTCAATCCCAAAATCACGAACTGACTGAGGCGGAAGGCGAAATTGAAGCGAAACCTTAGACGGAAACCACCCCTGCCATGGGGTGCCGAATTTTTCCACGCAGGTTCTTTTCTTTTCTGGATGCCAAGGAAAGCCACTCCAAAATTCCAGCGGCTTATCACCCCTCTATCTCTGCCCCCAAAAACGAAGCGGGGGGCGGGGGCAAGGACCACCCCCCCCCCCCCCCGGCCGCGCCGCCGCCACACCCGTGGCATCTGACGGCGCGAGCCCGCGGGAGGCGTCGCCTGGGTGGCGGTGCCCACGGCCACCAAGTGCCCCGAGGCCACGTAGGCGCCCAGCCGCGTCTCCAGCGCCGTGGCCGCGTCGGGGAGCACCACCGCCCAGGCCGACCCGAAGACCTGAGCCGCGGGTTCAGGGCGGGGCTTGCGCCAGCCGCGTCCAGAGCCGTTAGAACTTCGCAACCCCCCCCCAAAAAAAAAAATAAATGAAATAAGCTCAGGCGATATCCCCAACAGCACCACACCCTCCCATGCAGAATCCTCGCGGAACGCCCCGCGACCGGTTTTGCTGAGGATGCCGCGTTGTAACTTTGTAAAGCAAAGAGTGACAGCGCAATCGCGCCCGGCCCGGCGGCGCAATCGGGGCCCGTTCGGGGCCGACGGCGCAATCGGGGCCCGATCGGGGCCCGACGGCGCAATTGGGGCCCTATCGGGGCCCGACGGCGCAATTGGGGCTCGATCGGGCCCGACGGTGCAATCGGGGCCCGAGGGGGCCCGACGGCGCAATCGGGCTCCGACCGGGGGCCCGATGGTCCCGTGGTGCAAGCGGGCTCCCACCAACCCTCAGCCACATATTATAGCTCAACGCCGGTTTTTTGTATCCAGCAAAACTAGGCCATGCCAGCTTGGTACAGTTGACGCGGCCCGACTGAGTCCGGCCCCGATCGGGGCCCGACGGCGCAATCGGACCCGATCGGGCCCCGACGGTGCAATCGGGCCCCGACGGCGCATCGCCCGACCTGTGCCCGGTGAACCTCGCAAACCGTCCTCGTTGAACCCTCGTGTGGAACTCAGCGTGGCAGGGCTGCCCCATAGCTTTTGCAGAACCTGGTGGAAACCTCGTGGAGCGTTTTTGGAACCCAAAGCCCAAGTAATACTTAGTAATGCCAAGCATTTTCTCTGCTGCACAGCGAGAGTCCCGCAGCAACGTGATCTGATTTGCAACAAAGCCAACATTTCGGGCCGCATTGCCTGAAGAAGTGAGCAAGTCACAAAACTTTGAAAGTGTGCTGAGAACCATGAACTTCGGTTTTGTTAGTGTTCCGCCCATGAGCAAGGCGATCTTCTGAGCAGACGACGGGCGCACGACACATTGTTTTTCTTTAGGGCAAACCATGGAACCTTGCGGAACCTTTGTGGAACCTTTTGAAGCCAACCCTTGTGGAATGCTCGCGGAACTCTGTGGAACCCTTTGAAACCTTACCTTGCCCCGGACCATCCCACACCCCTCGCAGAACCTCCACCACCCCGCAGCCCTTGCAGAACCTGGTGCAACAATGGTGGAACGCTGGTCGACCTTTGGCGGAGCTTTTGTGGAACCTTCTCAAAGCACCCCGGACCACCCCGCAGCCCTCGCAGAACCTGGTGGAACACTGGTGGAACCCTGGTGGAGAACCCTTGTGGAACCTTACCACAAACCACCCCGGACCACCCCGCAGCCCTCGCAGAATTTGGTGGAACCCTGGCGGAATTACCTCAAACCACCCTTGCAGAACCTGGTAATACCCTGGTGGAACCTGGTCGAACCCTCCGTTGAACCAGCCTGACCTCAAACCACCCCGGACCCCCCGCAGCCCTGGCAGAACCTGGTGGAACCTTACCTCAAACCACCCCAGACCACCCCGCAGCCCTTGCAGAACCTGTAGAGCCCTTGTGGAACATTACCCCAAAGGACCCCGGACCATCCCGTAGCCCTCGCAGAACCTGGTGGAACCCTGGCGCAACCTTGCCTCAAACCACCCCGGACCACCCCGCAGCCCTTGCAGAACCCGGTGGAAGCCTGGTGGAACCACGAGGGTTCCACCAGCGTTCCACCAGGTTCTGCGAGGGCTGCGGGGTGGTCCGGGGTGGTGTGAGGCAAGGTTCCACGAGGGTTCCACCAGGGTTCCACCAGGTTCTGCGAGGGCTGTGGGGGGTCCGGGGTGGTGTGAGAACCTTACCTCAAACCACCCCAGACCACCCCGCAGCCCTTGCAGAACCTGGTGGAACCCTGGTGGAACCCTCGTGGAACCTTGCCTCAAACCACCCCGGACCACCCCGGACCCTATCTGGGCTGAGACCCCAAAGCTTTCAGCTGTTGGGGAAAAATGGGAGAGAAGGAAAACCCACTGGTGAAGAACTGGGATGTTCCAGGCCGAGCTCGGCTCCCACGATTTCAAACCAAGCTGGGAATTTCCATGGCTTCCCCAAGAAAAGGTCCCCTCCTCTTCCTCCTCCCAGCCCCCGACCCCCCTGCCTGGCGGATGGGCCCCTGCCAAGCAAAGGAGGCCTCGGCATCCACTGGGCGTTTTGTTGGTACGGTCTCACTTGCCCATTGGACCTGAACAAGCACCCTCCGGAACCTTGACTAAAGACGGATGGAATCAGGAAAGCCAAAAGGTTCAAAGGTCGGCCTGGGGCAAGTAGTGAGTCCCCCAAGTGGGTTTTACCCTACAAACCACTCATGGGACTGCCGACAGAGGTTTACTTGGTCACAAGTCCCCTAAGAGGGGTTTACCCATACATGCTTTACCCATACAACCCACTTGAGGGGCTTAACAGGGGTTATGAAGCACTGAAGCACCTAACTGCAACGGGGCTGGTCTCCACACCCCAAGGGTCCTGACCTTTCAACTGCCCAACATCGGTCTTCAGGTGCCCTTAATAAAACAAACGGAACCTCCCAAACGACACGCGAACTCGATTTCCGAATGCGTCAGCTTTTCCTGCTGGCTTCATTTGAACGATTGAACAGTGGGGGGGGGGAGGGAAGTGGGCAGCAAAAAACCTAAGCAAAACTGGGAAAGCTTCATTGTGGACCCCCAAGCGCCCCGCTGAATTTCGCAAAGGCGAAAGCTGGGGAGAGTCTGGGCGGTTTGTGCGGAGCTTGATGTTTCGGGCAAGCCGGTCAGTGGGGAATGAGAGAATGAACCCAGTGGTCCCCTTAAAAGGAGCCGCAAATGGTTTATAGGGTCATTCCCTCATTCCGTGCTGAGCACCAACACACTATGTGACTCCGAGCCTTCTCGCTTCATGGCCGTTCGGGAATCAAGCGTGGAGTGCACGGGAAAGGGGGCCGGGCATGAGACGAGAGCTGACTCTTCAGCAACCAACACGACCCAGAAAGGCGAGGTTCGTCTTTCACTATTGCAAAGACGCTGCCACAAGGGGAGAAATTCGATTGTTTCTTTTCGTCATCTTAGGAATGGCTGGGAGCAACCCTGACAAACTTAAAAAGTCAATCGACTTGCCTCGGACCACCAAGTGAAAAGCAGAAGCGGTGGTCCGGGCGCGTAAAGGCGCCAAAAAGTATTCTTTGTGTGTTCACGCAAGCACATTAAAATGATCCAAACCCCAAAAAGTGCAAAGTCCCCCTCCTTCCTCCGCACCCCCCTCCCGCCAAGCCGCCTGCGCGTCGCACACGCCCCACCGCGCAGCACCCACACACGTTCCCTTGACGTCGCACACGGCCTCGACCTCCTCAGCCTTTCGCTTGCAGAAGGCAGTGCCGACCTGAAGGCTTGACCGCAGAACCGGGGATCTGGGGGGGGTTGATCAAGATTCACCAACCTGAAATATGATTGTATCTATTATTATTATTATTATTATTATTATTATTATTATTATTATTATTATTATTATTATTATTATTATTATTATTATTATTATTATTATTATTATTATTATTATTATTATTATTATTATTATTATTATATTTATATATTCTGGGTGAATTATAATCTTTCACCACCCTGAAATGTTTGGTGGTTGAAGGGGCTATTCCCCACATAAACCACCATTTGGGGTGAATTCGGTCGTGTGAGGTCGGGATGATTCACCCAGGATATTCCAAATAGGCCTCGCCCCAAAATGACGGCTTCGAACAGCATGTGGTGCGGATTCATCCCTTCAGCCGTGTGGAAGAAGACTCGCCCCAATTTGACGATGAGCAACTTTTCCCATGCGGCAGATATTTCATCTTTCTGCTGTGGTGTTCCAACCAATGGCATGTGGGGGTTGATGAAAAGGTCCTCCCCCTCGTTTGGTGGTTTGGAGCCCGGTGATTCAGGAGGAGATTCCCATCCCTCCACAGGAAGCAGGGGCTCAAATCCCCCATTCATTAAGGCTAACCATGATTTACGTGGGACCACCAAAAAAAACATGTGATCTTCAAGACTTGGGCTCCATGTTTTGAGTACCCCAAGTTTGACTTCACCCAGCGATTCCCCTTGGGGGAATCAAAAGATGGAACCCTGATCGGGTATGTGTTGATCAGGATTCGGGCCCCGAAGAGAGGCAGAAAACCCTATTTGGGTCTCTGCGTCAAAACTGGGAGTCGGTTTCCTTTGGGATTCCGTTTAAACCAAGCTGGAAAGGGTACCCAGCCTCCAAAGCACACGCTCAACCAGCTACATGCTGCTGGTCGGTAGGGAGTTTCATCAGTTTTGGGACTGAACCATTTGGGATCCCAAATGAAAAGAATGAGCTTAGGGGGCTGTCTTGCTTGACCTTTGTAAGGGATGTGGGAATTGCCCTTACCAGTCACTATTGAATTGGGTTGTTGAAGGGAAGGGTGAGGAAGTTTCATTTCAAAAACATGGCGAAAGTGTCCCCCCAAATGATGCATCCAAGAATCACCTGGTTCAACAGGAAATCCTCTTCAAATCGAACAACGGTTGACTTTCGATGCGGCCAATACGTGCACCACCCTTTTCGCACCCCTGTCAAATCTTGGGACTTCGACCCCGTGCAAGTGAACTTTAATATGGTGCTGGTTGCAAGGAGAAAAAATGCGTTCTTATGTCCCCAAACCTGTTGTGAGTAATTACATCATCTGATAGAATTCCTCGGAATACAAGTGAGACATTGGTAAATTTCGGGAAATTGGGGAATCTGTTGAGTTTGGATGTGGCCATGGGTCAAAAGCCCGTACCCCGAGTGAACATCCCAATCCCCACTAAATGGGTTCTAAAATGGGTGGTGCACCCACCCCAAAATAGGATCCCATGAGATTTGACCCACAGCCATGTTGCTCCCCCCCCTCCCCCAACCCCCCCCCCCCCCCGGGCCGCTGGGTCGAAGTCCATCGGCAGCGGCCGGTCGTCCACCAGGATCTGTGCCGCCATCTCTGCCGCCAGGCGCGCGAGGGCGGAGTTGGGGCGGAGGGCGAAGCTCTGGACGTTAGAGCTGGCGATGCGCACGCCTTCGGGTCCTGCTCTCGGAGTCTGTCGCCCGGATTTCTCCGTGACATGAGTCAAGGGGGGCCTTCCTACTGAAATTGGGCCTGAAACCAAGGTTTTCCACAATGGTTCAACGGCTCCTGCCACCCACCACACACACACTGCGACAAAACACACCTCATCCTCACAGGGTTGATCCCGAAACCCGTTCACAAGGCAACCCCACCCCCAGCAGCCCCCCCCCAAGCCCCCACCCCCAAGCTTTCAGCCCGGTCCGCGGCTCAGGCGCAGAAACCCCCGCGCCCCGCTGGCCGCGCGCTGCAGGATCCGCAGCCCGAAGCGGCCCTCGTAGAGCGGCCCCCCCGCGCTCAGCTCGAAGCTGCCGCCGTCGAGCAGCCGCGCCAAATCTGCGCCCGGGTCTCTTTGGCTCACCTCGGGTCACGAGAAGGGAAGAGCCCACAAACGCCTTTTTTGCGGATTTCCGCTGTCATGCCGTCACCAGCAACTGTTTGGTGTGAGACATGTCCAACATCCAAATCCCAAGTACTGTCCAAAAAGCAGTGGGTGGGGGGGTGATGTTGCATATATACGCATGCATTTAATGAGTATATACGTAGGTAAGTGAAGTTTGAGGGCTGACCCTTGCAGTCAGGAAGAATCTCCACGCCTGCAGCGTCCAGGATCGGATGGAGGGGTCGTGCATGACCCCCCCGTCGTTGGACGTGTGGGTGTCCCACCACCAGTGCTCCTACCGGAGAAAAAAGAGTTCAAGTGAGTGTGGGTCAAAAAAAGGAACCCAAAATGGAACCCTATGAAACCTTGTGGTCCATATCCTGGCGGTTTAGTTTTGACCCATACCCAAGTCCCTGGTGGACATCCTTTGGAGTTTGAAGGGACACCGACAGGAAAACAAACAACAACTTCGAGGGGACGATTTCTTAAAAGGCACACCCACATCCAAAGGAAATCCCCACAGATGGGTTCCAACTCCAAGAAAGGAGAGTCCTGAAAGCAGTATATAGCCAGCTATGAATTTTCATCTGAACCCCGATTGGTAAACCATGACTGACTTGTCTCAAAAGGAGGAATTGGGCCTGCCAAAGGTTGGCGTCGTTGTAAAAGATCCCCAAGATCCCCAGAAAAGGACTTATGCGCAAATACTGGAAACCAGCCGGCGGGAGAACTTCGCCCTAAAAATTGGCGCCAGGGCTGGGAATTGCAAACATTATGTTGCCAAAACTTGAAACATACTGACAGACTTACTTGTTTCCGAAGAGGACACAGGAAAAGTGGGAAGCTCGTGCGATGTTTGCTAGTTGAAAACTACTCCAATGCCCGTCAAGTTTGATCGTCAAGGTCATTCTTGCAATTTGTACGCGGGCTTTGGCCCAACTGCTACGGTTTCCAACTGAGAACAAAATGCTGGCCTTGATTTGTCCTTTTTGCTTCTTGGTGTTATTGCTCAGAAGTGCTTTTCGAAGTGCAATTGATGTCAGTTTGTTTTCTAGTCAATGCAAACTTACCTGGCTAGTGTTGGGCGGAGATCCAGGCTGGGGCCTCCCATGTCATCACAACAGTCACCTATCTGGAGCTTTCCCTGTGATCCAAATCAGAAGAGCAGCTCAAAAGGCGTGTCCAAAAACCCGAGAGTCGGCCGACTGGCCGAAGCTTGCAAGGCAGCATTCGTGGCATAATTGATGCCCTAGGTTTGCTCAAGTACAAATGGTTTACTGCCTGAAAACGGGCTGGTTGCTTGCTCTTTCATGCAAGAATTCAATCTTTTCCGCCTGACCAGAATGGCAAACCAGGTAAAATATTCACATAGTTGCTGTATTTAGCACACATTGTTCAAGTGGAAAATGGGTCTTGCCAAGAAACGCGTGCTTAAAAAAACAAAAAAAAAAAACGGAAAGTTAAAATAATGACACAACTGGCTTGCCAAGAACCGCAAATTCGCCGAGAAAGCAAGCCATACAAAAACCAATGCCACTAGGTCCGCAAATTTGTCTCCCGGAAAGTGGAAGGACTGGACCCAGGTCCTGGTCAAACTCCTGAAAGGTGACGTTCGCACCCTCCTCCCTGGCAAGCCGGTAGCCCACTCGTGGGCTGCTCTGGGATCCTTAGATCCCTTATGGGGCCCCAAAATGAACAGACCTCGAATGGGGCAAAAAGGGGCAACCCTTCTGGGTAGTTCTTGGAGGTAACTGAGCACTGAAAATCGAAACAGCGCACAGGGCACCAGACGTCAGGGTGTTTTCAATCCAGGCTATGTTTGCACATGAGAATTCAATGAGGGAGGGGTCCTAGGCCGCCTAGGCCATGTATGGGAAACGAGTCATGCAACCCTGAACCCCGGAATCCCTTCCGGCCTCCCTATCAAAGAGGCTGCCCCAAAAACCCTAGGTATGATAGTTTTTGGAGCCCATCCAATCCGCTACTCGTCCCAGGCGGACCTGTTGCAGACCCTGTGCAGAATCAACCATCGGTTTTTTGAAGGGGCCGTTGATTCGTTGCGTTCGTGCCTTTCGATCAGCCAGGCAAAGCACCCTCCCCACCCCGAACAGCCAGCCCGAGCCCAGAGTGGAACCATCTCCAAAAACTACGACTCTGAATCTGGAGAGGGGAACCATCCTAAGTGTTTTCAAAATCAACTCAGCCCCAATTCATGGGTTGGTTTCCCATCTACCCTCAAGAACCAGGGCTTCAAATCCAAATCCTGCCATCCAAACCAACTCAGGGATGCCTGCAGTGGCTGGGCAAACAGCAAAACCTGCAAGGGCAACTGCCAAGGTACCCACAAATCTAGTGCTACCTTCCCCATTCTTTCCAGGCATCCTTCTTTCTAGCAAACGTCCGGAAACCCAGGGACACGCCCGATTTTTGAAAAGAATGGGGAATCAACCCATAGAGCAAAGGTACCTGCAAAGGTACCTGCAACGGCACCTACTCCAAGTGGAACCCGCCCCCAAAACAAGGTGTCCTTTTAGGGCAAATTGATGGCCCTGGTAGATGATTAAACCACCAGGTAAGCCAGGAATCGCCATCTATTTTTCTACCTAAACAACCAAGCAGGACACCTATGCCCCAAAAACGCGGCGTTCAGCGCCCAATTCAACGCGGCGCTGAAGCCAGCTCCGGCCTCAGGTGCCGCGCCATGCGCCGGCCGAACCAGGCGGGCACCGCCTGGTCCCGCGTGGCCACGCGCACCAGCGCCGGCACCGCCTTGGTTTTTGGCCAAGTGGATCCATGTCTATACCCCCAAAACCTTCCGAACTGGCTCGCGGCCCAAAAGGCGTCCCCTGCGGCCCTGGAAACTTGCCGAAGACGTTCTTGAAAAGGGCCTTGCCTTTGATTCTTGGGTTTTCGAACAGCCCAACCCCCCATTCTCCTTTTGAAAAACTGTGTTTCCCTCCCCAAAACATCGGCATTCTCTTGGCTGGCTATATTTAAGGGAACCGCTCCAGACAAAGAATCAGATACAGACCGACCCTTAGCAAAGCCCTTTCCGCCCCAGTGGGCCCCAAAAAGCGGATGCGACGAACCGACTGCGTGGCCTTGAGATTGGAGGCGTGCAAGGAGTTCTCGTTCACGGCCACGCTGGCATGCAGCACGCCCAGCAGCATCTTGTCCATGTGCATCAGCGACACCTCAATCATCCCCCCTACCTTAAAGGGGGCGGGGGGGGGGGTCCCACAAATCCAGTATTCAGCCTTCCCCACAAAGAGGAAAATAGAACTAAATGGAATTCCAGGGGTCCCCCCCCCCCCAATTGTGTTTTGAAGGGGGAACCAATGTTCGATTCCTTGGAGCTGAGTCCACCAAAGCTTTCCGGCATGTCCTGTAGTGTTTCCGAGCCACAAGGAGAGCTGTCGCATGTGAAGAAAGTGAAATGACTTTCCTTCCCATGCTCCGCTGTGACTCTAAATCAGTATTGGGAATTGCCTAATTAGCTGGACCCTTTCCCGAGAGGGGGTGGAGGACTTTGGAAGCATATGGCTTATATACCACCAGAAAAGGCTTGTAAGTCAGCAGGTCGCCAATATAAGCGTGTAAGGCAGTAGTTTGTCTGATATACCAATACAGCCTTGTAAGGCAGAAAAACACGAACGTAAAAACAAACAAACAAACAAACAAACAAACAAACAAACACACACACACAGAGCTGACCACGAATTTGAAAACCGCCAAACAAATACGAACAATTACAAACAAGCACAAAACAGAAAACGAAATCAGCAAGGACAAAATGACAACAATAAAGAGCAGCTAAACACCACAGCGCAAACAACAAAAACAACAACAAACGAGCACAACACCACAAAACACTACAACAGAAGCACACAGAGAACAAAAACAAATGCAAACAGCTCAAACAAGCAACAACAAACAATCACAAAACACGCTAATTGAAGCAGAAAACACGACACAACGCATAAATAGCCTGAAACAATACACAAGCCCCCGCCTCATGGACCCAAAGGTTGTTGGCGTCCCCATACTCCTCGCAGGCCATGAATCCAGCGCTACTGTGTGTCTGTCCTTTGGCAAGATTCCATCAAGATATGGGGGCCAAACTGTACCCTAAGAGCCCTTTGGTGACGTTCAAGGGGCATGATCTCCGGGACAGGCCAGAGGCGAAAGAAAACTCCACCCGAACATCAAACCAACAAATCAAAGCAGGCAACCACGCCACAGAAACACGCCATGTTTCAGAGGCACAGCACGCGGCCTAGGAAGATTGGGGCCCTAACAGTTGCAACTTCTCGGTGGCTCCGAATCAGTCCATGATTTGCCACTGAGGGCTATGTTCCGTTGAAAGGGACCCTCTGGTAGGTTCTACGGTTGATTCTGGCCCATATTTAGTGAACCTTAAGTAGAATAACTTGAAACCGTTGTTTTTTTTCGGGTACCGTCCATATATAGTACGTATTCTTTGCAGAAGCGATAGACAAGCTTCAAAATCTCGTCGAGGGAGTAGACCATACATTCTGGTATAAATAAAACTATACAGATTCAAAACGAACAAACATTTTCGTCATAAACAACTCATTCAATGCGTTCAAAATATCCAACAACCACCACACTCAATATTGCGGATATTAGGTAGACAATTGCATACTACACAACATTAAACAAAACCACCGAAAGCAACACCAACAAAACCCACACCGACAAACATATATACACTGTAAAAAAAAAAAAAAACATATTGCTACAACTTCATGTGTTTAAACACAACGATTGATGCATTACATGACAAGTCCACTCTAGTCAACATGCAAAAATGCAAAAACAAATAAACCCAAAAAAGCACGATTCACCCTCTCCAATACCTTCTCAGGTTGGAAATACAGGAAACACGTGGTGCCTTGAATATTTCGGAAATCCCATGGCACCATCTGTTACAGTCACGTCAAGTCACATCACCTCACTGCGCGCACACACGCGCGAAGTCACATCAGCGTGCATGAAGTCACATCACGCATCATGAATTTCTTGGCAATCACACTGGCCACGTGCTTGCACAGTGTACGCCGCGCTCTGCCGCAAAACTAGCTGTTTGCGTCCCACGCCTAGGTGAAAACATAATTTTCTGCCGAACCGAACACTTGATGACTATCTCTGTGCTTCCCCACCGGCCACGCCAGTGTTCTTCAAGCTTTGACTTCCAACGCCAAACGCCAGTTGCGGGAGTGGAAATCACCTTGGCCACGCACCGCCATTGTAGCAGCCTTTCTGTTGTGTTTCAAAGCACGCAGGCATAACCCCCATGGACCCCTCCACGCCATCCACCCCATCCGCCCCATCCGGCCGCATCGACAACACAACAGCCCAGCTCAACAGCTCAACAACCCAACAGCCCAACCCAGCCCGTACAAAACCCTACAGCCGAAACCCGAAACCCTACAGCCCACTCCTCGCGGCTGTACCACCCGCAGCTGGCCGCCACCCCCAGCACGCGGTCCGGCGCGGCGGTGGCCAGGCCCCAGGCCCCGTGCGCGCCCCGGGAGTGGCCGTGCACCACCAGCCTCGAAGACTCGAAGCGAGGCGCGCTCCGGCGCCCGGGGCTCCGCCCGAGCGACCTCCAACTTTCGGGTTCAAAGGCTTGGGGTTGCAGGGAGTTCGGCACAAAACAGCTTGTGTAGGATGAAAACCGCTGTGTAGGATGTGTTTTGTGTTGCGCCATGTCCTGAATCTTGGTAAGCAGCTTGTGTGGGATATTCTGGGGCCATGTCCTGTATTCGTTTGTCCAACCCCTTGATGGCTTCACACATATTTTCTGTGCCCCAATCGGGAAGTGAAAATAGGGGTCAGACTAACCCCGCAACCAAAATAAATAGGGGCGATTGTGGGGGCAGAACTCAACTTCGAGCTGTCTGAAGCCGCTGTAGCTCGGGGGGGAGGGGGCAAGGTATTTGCCAGGTGTGCCCGTTACAGCGTGTACCCTCGTAGACCACCCTTTTCGTTGGTAAGACCACCCCGCTGGTAAGTCTTAAAATAGAAGGCTCCTAAAATTGCTGCCAAAAAAGGGGGCAATTTCCGGAGAAGGGAAACAAGACAGCAAAACAACGAAAATCGGGGGAGAGAAAAGACAACCGAGCAAAGAAAGACAAGCCAAAACAGGTTGCTTCTTTAAAAAAAAAGAAGACAAAACAACCCCGAAAACCGGGGAAGAAAAACTAGACCCCGGGCATCTTCGGAACTCCCCAAGCCGAGGCGCCGGTCCGCGTCCGCGGCGCAGCCGGAAGAGCCGCCGATCGCCGTCCACGCGACCAGGGCGTCGATGGCGCGGAAGACGCTTTGGAGGCCCCGGTCCTATCAGACAACGGGGGGGAGACCGTCGAAGTCACCTGGGGCCTCCGGACCTTCATGGACCTTCATGGACCCTCATGGATCTTCATGGATTTGTGGATGTTTCGTTGTTTTCCTCGAGTTTTGTCTGGTTGTCTTACTTGTTTGATCACGCGCAACTGACATAGCACACCCATGGGAAGACTGGAAGCCTCCAAACGCAGCAATAAAAGCGCACGACCAGGGTCCCCTGTGCTGAAAAAATCGGGGGCAGGGCTTGACGAGTTCGACCTCTGGCGTAGGAGTTATACCCTGAATCAGCACTGGATTGGTAAGGGACCCCTGAAGAATTAGGACCGGTATGTACCCATATATTAGCGATTCTCCAGGGGTTGACTCTAGCCTGCCTCATAAGCACTGTTCCCGCTGCTCTTTGAAAAGGCATGCCACAACTGTCCAGAAGGCTTTCCCAGCAGAACTGGCGAGAAAAAAACAAACGTGGATCTAACACCCTTTGGCTGTGCCAAAATAGAGGAACCCCAATACGCGGTGTTCCGTTTGGTACCCCCAAACTCTCATTTTGGTCCCTCCCTCCCAGGGGGCGGACAAAATTGACGATGGAAGTGCACAACCCCCCTTTCCAAGGGGAAGGTGGTCTTTCTACAGGGGTCTGTGCACCAAACCATGTTCGTCGGGAGGGTACTTGTTTTTTGCCGGCCATGTCTCATTATCGGAGTCCTCCCAGTTGTGCGGCCCGTCACGCTGGGGCGCCAAGAC